CACCCAAACGTGGCCGGGTCAGCTATTTATGTATAAAACAATTTAAACGGCAAAACAACGTTTGCCGGGACAGCTAGTTTTCTATAAATAGTAATTATAAAATTTCCTGACTGCATATTAATCTTAACAATACAATTTTTTTAATTCACATAAATTGTTTTATTTAATGATGTCAATTTCAAACTTGCAAATTGAGCTAAAAGTTATTGTAATAAATTAATTATTATTAATTCATATAATGTAATTATAAATCAAATAACTAATCGTGATATTATTAAGGGAATAAGAGTTATTGTGGTTTTTGAAATAATCTACCAATTTCTTAAAATTAAACACTATCTACAGATTTGTATCGAAGCGTTTCTTATGATAGTAATTTTAATCACTGTCAGATATCATCTATACTTGTTCCAACTATGCCACTTCCATAATGTGCCACGACCCACAGTGCTACCGTTTTTTTTCTATTGGGCCTGTTACCACTTTTTATCATTAGTCATTTCTCGGCCACTCTCCTTTTCCTGCCTAGATGCAAAATTGTGAATATCTTTCGAAACACTGGTCTAAAAGTTATTATCGACCAGTCATATTTTTAATTAGATCATTTCCTATATAAAAAGCTAGTTAAATGTGTATAATTAAAAAAATTAATTTGACATCCCTATAAGTTATAAGGGATCACATAAAACATTTTTATGATTGATAGATGAAAATACATATGAAGTAACATAAATTAAAAAATATGCATTATTAAGAGAAATTGAGTGGCTATTATTAACAGAATCACCTTACATATTGTTTTTTTAGATATTAATCATATAATTTGTCTTATTTAGATGATTACTATTAAGATTTATATGTTTCATTATTGTTCAGATTATATTTTATTTAATATACTATACAGCTTTGGCTCGAAAAAACCAAATTTCTTAAATGATTTGAAGTAGAATTATACGTGATAAAATTTCATACAACTATCCGATTGTACGTCTGGTTAGTCCATTGATGCGTTAATAGCTAAATTATTGGTTTCCTTGACTGTACCTATACAAACATCATAGTTTAATTTTTAATTTTCCTTCCTTATTTTGCTCATTAAATAGTTTTTAGATGATTTTAAATTAATTAAAGAAATACCAATTAATTTTATGAATTTCCAATAATTTTTTTTTTTAATCGTTAAATGTGTACGTTTTATTTTATAAGAGATGTAAAGGAAATTCGTCATTGTTAACCTCTGCGTGTTTTGAATATTTACCAACGGATTCCCTGATCGGCCATATATCACTGGTCGGAGGGCGAATAACTTTGGGTGTTAGTGAGTATAATATATATGCATACTTACTATGTATGCTGCAATATATACATACATATTTACCAGCGGGAGATCGTGTCCTTGGTGCATTTAGAATCTCTATTCCCAGATTGAATTAAAATGCCGTTAAGTTTGCATCGCGTCGAGTTTATACTAAATTTTTAACGCCGACTCATTGTATAATAGTAGTACACATTGCTACCGCAATCTGAGAAATTATCATGTTTGTTTTTCATTCTTTACAATGTATGAACATTTTTATTTAATAAAAGTTTAATCACAAATCGTGATTTCATTTTGGGTAAGGATGTCCTAATCTATGAAATGAATTCATGTACTTATAAATATGTTATTCGCAATTTTTTAACGAACATCATGAATGATGGTTTTTATTCATCGAACATAAATTTACTCACATCATTTTCATTGTGTGATGCACATACACACTACATTTCATTAATGTTATTTTCGTGATCATTATTGTAATAGATATTTACAAAATCCTCGTTAACATGTGTATATCAAATTCAATACTGCAGTAATTACCGAAACAGTATATCTGATAACCATCGTTATCAAATATACTGTTCCAGATGCATCTAGAGAAATACGAAAATAAATAATGAGTTTTTATAGTAATTATTTACAAAGAAACCATTCATTAAATAAATAATTAACTTATATAACTATGAATCAGTAATATTAGAAACAGTATACAGCGTATAATTAAGGGGGATAAGGAGTTAGACTACCCCAATACAAACATATTTAAATGGTAGGTATACAATATTTTTCGTTTGAAGGAGTTAAAAAAAAAAAAAATCATTTGATTCAAACGTATCATACAGAACTTAAGCCACGGTTTTTTCGTAATAAAAAAATGTTCATTTAACTGTATTAATAAATTCGATATATGCATATTTTTTCTTTATTCTATTTCTTACAATAATATTCAGACTATTTCGACATAATTTATATCCTAATCATATAATAAAATTAATAAATTATAAAAATGAAAAGATTATACTACAAAACAAACAATAACATTTATTTCTCATTTAACATAATACATATTAATTGAAAATAAACTTATATATATAGTGACTAGTTTTACTAATTTTCAACAAATATACATACAAATTCATAAACGCATTGACTGTAAAATCAAACAGTTTCCTGATCCCTACTTATGGCTTCAGCGTGTTTTTTTGCTTTTAACCTTAAGTCAGCAATACTTGAATTCTTAGTTAATAATCTATCTTGGTGTAATGCTGCTAGAGTGGCTAAACTAAGACTTCCTTGGGGATATGGTGCTGGACAAAGTACACTTCGGCCCATAGTGACTGCATAGTGCAACTGAAATACATAATATTTATCATAAAATTTAGTGTAATCAATTAAGAATAAATTGATTAAGTTAACATAAATTCAATTAATAAACTAAATAACATAAACATAAATTACAGTGCATAACAAAAAATAAAAAATTGTCTGCACCAATAATATAATAGATTCTAAACGAAATTTCGTTGTGAATTTCGAATTTGTCCATAAAATGTTCAGATTTACTCTAGAATTTTTGTTAATTGCAAATTAGTGAAAATCAAGTAGTTACGTAATTAATATCTCAATAAAAAGAAAAAAAATGTCGAAAATTTTAAAACTCTTTTTAAAACTTCAATGAGTTGTATTTAAGAAGTACTTGTAAAATTTTGAGTCTTTATCTCAAGGTTTATTATTAAACTTTGTGGGTATTAACTGTTAAGATTGGGTATAATTTTTTTTTTAACCTGTTTAAATTGATTTATGTGTTATTTGGTAGTTTTTTTTATTAGATAACTTAAAAGTTCCATAAAACACCCTTAAAAACATACTTTAATAATAACTTAACAAGTTTATATTGTAATTTTCCAAAAAAAAAAAAAAAAACTTGCCAGCTTGTCCAATACTAGTGAATTTCAGAGAATTCGTTTATCTGTAGTGTTCATATTAAGTAATAGAAAATCGTAAATAGATGTTACATATTATTTGTTTAACAATTAAATATTGAAGACAAATATTTTTTAATCTAATTTTTATAAAAGTTCATTTTTATAGTATTTAGAATTTTATTTTAAAAAGAGATTTTTGACGAAAAATACTAAAAAATACGTCAATTACTTGTTAAATGAATAAAAATTAAACTAAGTTAACATAAATTCAAAATATCTGCGTTTAACTTAAAACGTTTAACTTAATTTATTAACTCGTTTGTGATCAGAATAGTACACTAATAAAAATTGATAAACATTAAATTAATTTGTAAACTGATATAGTTTTAAAACTAACATATCTATTTTATACAAGTTATTTATTAATAACAAAAACTAGTATATTTCAAGAACTAACTGAGTTGTATATCCCTATAGTCTAACAAATACAAAAAATACAAAAATTCTAATTAAACTTTCAGCGTCAAAATTTTTTTTGGATTATATCTCATTATTTATTTTTAAATACATTTTATTTTTATATCGTATTATTTTACAATAAAAAAGAAATGATTATAAAAAATGTTGGGTTTCATAGTTTTTTACTATTAATTAAATTTTATCAGTTATGTTATAAACATAAAAAATACATTTATTAAATTTCCAATTTGCCATAAAAAAAATTATTATTATAGATTAAAGCAAAGTAAGTTATAGAGAACACTTTTTGTAAATGATAGTCAAAATCAATTTTGAAGGCCATGTATAGTGTTAATCTTAAGATATAAAGCTCAAATTCTGCAAGTACTCATTAAATACAACCTATTAGAGTTGTAATTCGAGTTTTTCAAAACTAATATTACTTATAGCTCTTGAAAAATATCTGATATATATATATAAATATATTTCGCAATTACAACTGGCTATTGTGAACTTATCCATAATAATAGTCGGACTTCCTTATCAGTTCACTGTAAAGTAAGAGGTGTGTTCAATAAATAATGGGAATTTTGAAATTTCGCCGGTATGGAGGGTCCGATTATAAATTTTTTTTTAATAATATTGGTACAAATGTCACTGAAGTATGATAAAATTTTTAGCTGGATTCATTTTTTACTTTTTCAGTTGCAGCTGCTAAGGTTAGATGTGCTTTTATGAGCTCGGCGATATTCGTTTGTAAAAAAAAAAAAAAATTTGTCACGAGGTCGAATGGTTAATAAAGAGTACTACCTACAAGTTCAACGTCGTTTGCGTGAAGCAATCCGAAAAAAACGCCAGATTTGTGGCAAAAAAATTATAACTTTTGCACTACGATAATGCACCTGCTCACACTTCATTGCTTGTTCGTGAAATTTTAGCCAAAAACAATACTGTAACGACGTCCTAGTTCTCCAGACATAACTCCGTGTGACTTTTTTCTATTTCCAAAAATAAAGAGAACCTTAAAGGGTCGTCGTTTTACAAGCATAGATTATATTAAAAGCGCTTCGCTGAATGAGATGAAGGCTCTCCCAATGATCGAGTTTGGAGAAGTTTTTCGAGGATTGGAAGAAGCGTTGGCACAAGTGCATAATATCAAATGGGGACTTATTTGAAGGCCACAACATTAATACAGACGAATAAATAAATATTTTTTTCAACAAACGAAAATTCCTGTTATTTTTTGAACACACCTCGTACGCCTTCATAAAAATCGCAAAAAAGCCAGATTAAGAGGAAACGCAACGCCTCCCTTCTACGTGTTAAAAAAGACTTCTTGTTAAAAGAAAATTTTGTAACATTTAAATAGTCGATTTTTTCCATTGTATAGTCTAATTACCGTATACCTTAAGTGCAGGGGTTCAAATGATTAATTCATGCTTTATACATTTCTCTAAGAGTTATTTTTATTATAAAACGTTTGTATGCATATTAACATATCTATTGCATTTATAGTATTTTTTAAGTATACTTAAATATATATTGATTATCGAAATTACAAAAAATAATGCTATTTTTGTAGTACCTGTTGTGCTGCATTTAATATAGCAGGGTCGAATGCTGAGAATGCAGCAGCAGCCGTAGAGTTGAACTGAATTTGTGGTAGTCTAGGTACGTTCACATAAGGTGCTACACGGCATGGTTCTAACGGAGTAGAAACATTTTGATGCATCATCAGACCTGAAATTCATGTAAATTAAACAAAAGTACTTAGTTTTTTGGACCGAGTCGGATTGGCGAGTAGGCGATTTCAATATTGTCTTATCATTTCGGATTATAATTTTTTGAAATTAGCCTCAATCGACAAAATACTATCTCAATAATTGTTTGGTCTTTAGGGCGATGGTTCTAACGCTTAACGTTTCAGTTAGTTCTTAGTAGTCACCTATCGAAAATTCAGCAGAAGCAGGTAAACCGTTGGGTTGTCTAAATATCTACGATCCACGCGTTGCAACGGTATGCAACACATTTATCGTTGTGGGATACTCATTTACGATTCCCCGTAGACTTTGTACAATAAAGTCAACAAATTGTTTTGAAATCAACATTCTTAATTTTGAAAAATAACATGTTCAGATGGCTAAATATAAAAATGAGTGTGTTAGTTGCGCAATATTGGACAACGGTCAATCAGTGCGAATTACCGACTGTTATGTACAGAAATAGAAGGGCGGGGTGAACGACTTGTGCTCGGCAGATCAGAGGGATTACAAATATCCGTTCGTTGCTTAATCAAGTTAAGTGTCGTGCTCGTGATTGTATGTGCAACGAGTGATTGTCACCCGATTGCACCCCAGTGAGCGATTAGAGCAGTCTAAACGGTAACCTCCGAATTCACCCCACCCGACGGGCAAAGCAGCAAACCGACGATGACGGCAAATGTTTTTATTCAATTACACACACGGACAATTGGAACGCGAATGATTCACTCTGTACTTCGGTGCCAATTGTTTCCACTCCCTTATTATGTATAAATATATATTTATATATGTGATTGTAACATCCCTTTTCCGTGTACCGCCCGTCCAAGTTTTGTAATTCGCGTATACCGCTCGTTGTTTTTTGGACTCTGAATTATATTATTGTTATTAATGGTCGAGCATAAAATGTGTTGCGGTACGTTAATCGCATTTGTATGATTATTGTATACCCCTTGACATTAAAATGAAATTACAGTTTGCTGTACACTCCCAAACACTACCATCGTATGACGAGTGCGATATTTTTAACAATATGACGTAAGGAGAACATTGTTTTTTCCCTCAGTAAAACAACAAAGTTTAATTCTAATGTACCAACATAATTGTAATCTTATTTAAAATTGTTAACTTAGCGGCGGATGCAACATTTTAGCTGCTAGACATATACAATAATTCACAGTACAAATAAATTTACCTTTGTGAATTTGACTTTCGTGTTTTCTACATTTTGCTCTTCTATTTTGAAACCATACCTATAGAATAATTATCCGAAATATAAACTTTTATTAAACAATAAAAATAATTAACGATTAGTTTGTTCTACAATAATATGATCTGTTGAATGAGTTGTTTATTATATTTGAATTTTCAATAATTATAATTTTAGTTGTATTAATTAACACAAAAGTTCCATAAAGATTGAAATTTTCAAATTTGTTTTGAACCCACACGGAAAATCTTTTTAGACCGGTTTTATGTGACTTTACATGACATGAAAACAATTAAACTACTATGAAATAAATTATATAGAGTGTTGAATAAGTAAGGAATCGGGTTTCTATTGTTCTCATTGTTTGTAATAATTGACCTGTTCCCTTACTTATTGAACAACCTGTATAATAAATACAATTTATTTTTACTATCCCTCTTAATTTTAAAAGCTTACAAAAAATATAAATAGTAAATTTTAAAATTTTTTAATGAATTTACCTGTACTCTGGCTTCACTTAAACCCAAACGTTGACTTAATTCTTCTCTCATAAAAGCGTCGGGATAATGGGTTTCATCAAAAAGTCTTTCTAGTTCATTGAGCTGCTCTAGAGTAAAATTAGTTCTACTTCGCCTTTGTTTATTGGACGAATTATTCGATTGCTTATTATTTTTTGTCTCATCAAAATGTTGATGAAAATCATCAGATATATCATCTTTAGATTTTTTAAAATCTATTAAAAAAATTAAATGAAGGTTAATGTTATAATTATCACATGACCGAGAAAGTTAAACATAGAATTAGAATTTCAAACTTTAAGATATTTTAATGTCAGTCTGAACTTTATGATTATAGTAATTTTTTCGGTAAAACTACTTTTTTGCTTCTACATTATTAATTTGTCAGATATCATTTAATTGGTAAATAAAATGCTCTTTAATAGAAAGTCTAATAGTTCAAAATAACATTATCGTTTAAGGATGACAAAAATTTCTACTTAGAAAACGCATGACATTTGACTATTTAATTAAGTTTCTTCTTCTTTTTCCTCGCCTTAATCCCAACTACTTGGGGTCGGACACTTTTTTTTTTTTTAATTAAATAAAATAAATTATAATTACAATAATTTCCTAATTGTCTAAATACGCTGAATTTTAATTTTATAAACCATAATTTCATTATATTTCACTTCTTCCGTTATTTTCATAATACATATTTCAATGTTTAGTACCGTATTTAATGATATAAATATTTATTAAGTTATAGAGTTAGGTAATGTTATTAAACATGGTGGGTTTTGATCACATATGAACATATAATTGAAAAAATAATTTCAAATTTATATTATANGTGATATGATAACATATAATTGGTAGATTGAAAAAATAATTGCAAATTTATATTATAATTCATGTCCAAGTCTAATTTTAGAGTATCGGCAGTATAAATTTGAATACAATGATTTTATCAAAATAATTCAAATAAATAAAGATAGGATCTCAAGAACAATTTTTCTTTTAGGTTATAACTAATCAAGTATCTGTTTTCTGGATGTTATTAAGTGTATTTGGAATTAAATCTATTTGAATATATGCATTTGATACCATTTAGCAAATTAAATAACAGTTTGCAAAGCTATTAAACAGCTTAGGCTAATACTTATTTCTTCTACCCTCGACCCCATTTATCAATCATGATTTGGACCCGCTTTAATGGATATAACAAATTAATTGAGTAACACGCCCATTAAAACGATTATGTGTTAAAATACTGTCGACTTAAAAAATTGTTATAATAGTAATGAATAAAAAGACTATAAAAAGTAGATGACACTTTTTTTTATACAAAATAATATTATTTACGCTTTCTGACTTATAGTAAACATTTATTCAAAATATAAATTACGTTAAGTTACTTTTAGTTAATTTTGAGGACAAAAATAATAAAAAAGAAAGTTTTTTTAAGTATTCCAAATCTATAAGATAAAATTAAAAATGATTTTAAAAAATTTTAATTATGACAAATAATTTTCGAAAAAGGATCTAAGCAACATTGATAAGTAAATATATTTTCTTAATTAACATACAAAAAGTTTAATGTATTTTAAATTATGACCGTAATTTTAATTAATTTTTTTACTGTAATTTAATAATTATAAACAGGAAAAACATCGGAAGCAATTTTTTCAATGAGGAGGTGTTGTGTTGTAAATTGTTTATTGCTTAAATGAAATAAATTAAATTAACTTAAACGAAAAAAGTATGCAAAAGGTATTAGAACGTGGATCTATTATACAAGAGAACGGTTTTTATTATAAAATAAAATTACGAAGATGAGACGCTCTGCAGGAGTTACGGGGCAATTAATTTAAGTCTGTTGCCCTGAAGTACTCTTGGGTGCAGTTATAAGGTCCCGCCCAGCAGTTGAGGCTTTAAGACGTTTTATTTTCTCCGTTCACTTTCTTGCAACCATTGTGCTTTGGATTAGTCTAATCCCATTACTTTAATTAAGAGACGGAGATAGATATAAATGGACATAGACTGAATAAAAGAGAAAATGCCCTTCGGTGAATACTTTGCGTTTATTCGTTTACACATCTCAATCGTTATAATTGTTCTTATATTTTTCCCATTTATGGACGCAAATGGTTAAATCATTTAGTAAACAGTTATCCTAAGTAAAACGTTAAAAAATAAAATTGGGTAACGGGATGATAAATAATAAGAATACAATATCTTCAAAAATAAAAGATAAAATATCGTTTATTTATTTTTTGAAATTATTAATACACTAACAAATTTAACACAAAAAAATATAGTCACATGTCCCTCCTTTTCCCTTCTAAAATTTATCTTTAATTTTTAAATGATAACATAAATGTTTAAAAAATATAATCTTTAGGATCCCTCCCCAAAAATAGTTGAAAATCCGTATTTGGCTGTAAAAAATTGTAATTTTAACACTCTGTACTCTATTCATGTATTCATTTTATTTATAACTGTTTTTATAGTTTGTCTTAATACAAATGATGGACTGAAATTGAGTACGGAATAAGTAATCTATGAGCTACTGAGATTTAAGTAAACAGAGTGGACACGATTTACTGGATAAAAATTCTATTTAAATGTATCAACACACTAGGTATTTAAATATTTTCACTTCATGAAATACTTCTTAGAAACTTAACATTGCACACAATAACATTTTTTGTTACAAAATCTCTAAAAATTTTCTATTTGTAATCTATTTTTTTTTTTTAAATTAGAAGTGCTAAAAGTTTCACAACGTAAAATTAATTCGGTAAATAAAAAGTTCTATAAATCGACCACATTTCCTGATTTAATCTATAAATAATGAAGAAAGTGATGTGTTTCTTAGTAGTACACTATTCCATTAATTCAAAAAAAAGTTACGATTTTGTTATAAAATGTCAAAAAATATAAAATCATAATAATACATAGTTGAATCATAAAAAGGGGCTACACGAATAAAATATTGTTAATCTTAATGTTTAAGTAATAACTAATACAATTTTTTTAATGGGTTAAAATAAATATCATAGCAGAATATATTTTTTACGGGTTTATTGAATGAAACCTACAAAAAATGTTCAGTTACAAATAAATTTTAATACTAGTTGAATAACATTTTATTCATGTTGTACATATTTTATTTCTACAAAAAAATGATTAGCATATAGTTAATTATGGCTTTTTTTGCGTTATTTCCCACGAGATATCGAGAAAAACTTGAACTCGATTATTACTTTTTTTTTAATAAAATGTAAATGATGTAGTAATTGTTAATCGTCAAAAGTGAACAGGATAAATAATTTATGCACAATATCATACAACTTGCATGATTCGGGTTACTATAATAATCATTTCGTTTCACCGTAAAGTTCTGTTATGATGGTGTATTACATTTTGTGTTGGAAAAGTAAAAAAAATAAACCGATATACATTCGGTGGTGCAACAGATCCTGGATTAATAAAACGAATAAAAATCGTGCGGCAAACACAAAAGTAGGGGAGTGCGGTAAAAAATCCAATTTGGTATTTTTGCTTACTGAAAAAACTACACAGTTATAATGAAATTTGGTGGACGCTGAGCACTCAATCACCTACACCTCTCTGCGAAACAACTTTATATATAGAAGTACGACATGATATAATATTATTTCTTTTTTTAACAGCTCACAGCTCTATTCAACATTATTGTGTTTCTTTTGTTTTTGTAATAATTTTCAAGATATTTCCCGTACATTTCCACAATAATTTATTATAAGTTAAAAGTTAAATAATTACCAAACTTTAAGCATATGATTAATTTAAAAACTCAACACAATGGTGTCGTGGCATAGTTGGGGGACAAGTATAGATGATATCTGATAGTGATTAATATCACTTCATAAAAAACGTTTCGATGCAAATCTATAGATGGTGTTTAATTTTTAGAAGGAATTGTAAATTCATTCTAAAAGCGTCATCAACTACTTATTCTTTTATTATGATTATTAGTTTTATTCTGGGACGTTTGCGTTCTTCAAATGTATATCAAAATAAAGCTATAAAAAATAGTACTTTTGATGTAAAAAATTATGATTAAAAAATTTTAAAAATTCCTACATAAGTTATTCTAAAAGACAAAAATCGAAAAATATCTATTAAAACTAGTCACTAATTTTCATTTTGCAATAACTCTTTTAAAAATACACTGATCTTAATGTTAATAAAATATATTAAAGGTAATAAGTTTTTATAAAAATTCAATAAAAGACCTAAGTTTAGGAAGGTTTTATGTTTTTTAATAATAATTATCACACAACGTAATTTTCCGTAAAATTTCCGAACAACAAAATGTTTATTCAATTTTTATTGAATGTAAGACCAAACTGGACGTAATTTATATATTTTTTTAAAAAGTTAATAAACGCCCAAATCTGTTATAATTATTCTATTATCAAACTATGTATTTTTTTTTAAATAGAACATCATAGGATGAAATTTATTCCAAATTATCAGATATGGCGCCAAAAGTAATACGTGAGTGGCCAGTCACTCTCTCAAAATAAATTTTTGACATCTCTCTCCTCCTTAGTATTTTGGTTTTAGTAAAACAGTTGTCTGATATTGGCTATATAAAAAATTGAATTGATACGACGTCTTGTTAGATATTAAAGATTATTGTTTATTTTCATATTCTATCGGTGTCGTCTTGTAATAGTCAGTTTCACTTTATTACCACACATTAGGTATATGATTAAAAAAATGATTTGATAACATAATATACTGCGCCATATAGTAATATTTTTAATTTTAAAATATTACTCATACGTTATTTAATTTGTATTTTATATTTAACAGCATTTCAATGATAAGTATTAAAATCATCAATAAAATTGTTTTCATTAATAAAGGTAAAATTTGTGAACTTGTTCCTCCAAAAAATTAACTTGCCCTTTCCCGTCCTTGCAAATTATGTCATTTCGATATTGGTTTATCTAAATTACTAATTACAACTAATTTTATACTAAAAATAACGTGATACTGTCTACAAATATATTTTATAAACTACTTTTTCTTTTGTTAATTTAATCATATTTGCATTATTAGATCTCCTACAAGTAGAAGTGAAATCCTAAGAAATAAGAGTATATTTAACCTATTTTGATACTATGATTTTCTTGACTTTTATCAAGCCCAGTTAAATTATTTAATAAATTACGATTAGTTCTTTGATTAAATATTTAAAAAGAAATATTCTAAGGATCATTGCTTAAAATGAAGCCAATATATTGTATCATGTTATGATGGAAATTTTGCATGTTTAATGAAAAAACCGATAATATTTGTTTTGTTTAACTATTGTAATTATTCAGTAACTGTCAGATTTTTCAACTAGTCTTACGAACACTACCAAGTTTCAAATCATCAGAGAATAGTTAACAGTGTAAATAAATTATATAAATAAATAAATCAACTGAAATACCTGTAATTAATATATGTCGTCGGTCATCAGAGATTGGTGATGGATGTACTGGTGATTTAGTCACGCTGGAAGACTTATTGTGACATATGCTATGTTCGTCGTTGTTCAAAAGCGTTTGAACCGAAGGTTTCGACGAACGGGTTGGTGAGTTTGGTGACCTAGGAGGTGATCTCGAATCATCGGGGTCGATCACTGGGGACAACGATGAAGTTCGCGAGTCCATTTTCGGTGACAATTTAGACGATAATACGGAACACGTTTGTGGAGGGGGAGTTTGCAAAAGATACGGAGTCCAAGGTCCGTAGCTTTTATAACAATTCTTATCAGACGACAGCAAGAGTGACAATTCGGTGAACCTCGTCAACTGGTCCATACGGCACTACAACGAAGATAACGTGTTGTCACGCGATTACATGACAATTGTACACCGCGTTGTTATTGACACTCAATCAGAATGTAATGTGCGAGTGCTTGTCTGTGTAAGCGGTACGATTCAAAACGTAAGAGATTTCATCCGTGTAAACAGCTCGTCCCAAACCACGGTTACCGAGGTGACGGGATCGCAAGGGGTGGATGGGATCTCTTCCTCGCCCAGGCGTTCTACGATTAAATTCACAGCCATTGGGCGTATGGGCGGTACCAACCCCAACGGTTTATTTATTAAGTGTAATGTAAAACGGTGGGGTCCTATTCATTATCGACAAATGATCGCGGGTCTGCCAGTCGGGTACAACAAATTTGTCACTTTCTCTTTTAGCCATTACCACCACTCAGACTTGAATTCCCGATTTGTCGCCACCGCCATTCATATCCTCATCGGAAGCATTAAAGGTTTTCTTAAACTTGCAACCGACCGAGTCGGCACTAAGCAGCAGTTGGTCTCCCACGAGGTTTGTTAAGGTGATTGATATACATCGTAACGGAATAGTTCTATACCGATATTGCTCTTCCATTATCAATGTTTTATTTCTTTAGCTCGTTAAATGAAAGAATAAAGACTCAGTTGCGTAATAGAAATTAAACTCTACTATTAAATAAGCCACAAGTCACGCTAGAAACCAAAAAACCTGTGACGATTTTAATTAATGAACCCCAGTAAAAATATTTTAAAATCCGAAATTGGAATTTCCAGTGACTAAAAATTCATTCAATGCGTTCATTAAAAAAAAGTTTGATAGCCATAAAAAATAAGTTATCAACTTCCTATTTAGAAAAAACTATAAACGTGTAATTAATTGAAAATTAAAAAAATTATACAGTGCATTTTCATTTAAATAAGTAAAATTATTATTATTAAATGTTTTGTTTAATAAGATACGTACCACCAAATACCAATGGACTCATTTGCGGAAATACGGTCTTTGAAAAAAATGTACCATCAACTTAGTTGACCGTTCGTAAAAAATAAAATTAATATGAAATACTGTATATAACAAGTAATATTTAATTAACTTTAAACGATATTAATAGTAGTAGTAATTTTTATATTTTGAGGTATCGATGATTGTTTTTCGCGTGTAAAAATACTATGAATAAAATTTTAAAAAAAGTACAAATGTTGTATCAATTATATTATAATTATAAGATCAGTATGTGTTAAGCCTTGATAATGGTAACATTGTTTCCGAAATACGTATCCGCGATTTTTCATGGCTTTTGAATTTAATATTTTTTAGTTTTAAACTAATAATAATTTTAACATAGTTTTAATTAAAAAAAAACATTAGCCACCAGTGATCAATTTTTATTATACAATTTTATTTCAAGTTGATTAATTCAGTAATATGTGGCGAGGAGAATGTAAATAACGGGCGACATTATTTTGGATATTTTTTATAAATTATGTTCCCCCTCCTTTTCTAAACCGAATCGACACTACGGCCAAATACATGTTTCAATGTTAAATTAAATAAATGTGATTTAATTTAACAACCAGCAGTTTAAGTTCATATTGCTTAATTAGTGCTCTCATTAAACATGGCAGAGGCAGCAGACACATAACTACGTGCAAGTGGATTTATTCAAAGATGGAGCCTTCTCTAATAGGTGAGGGAAGATGTGAGGCAAAGAGAAGTGAAACGACCGCCCGTCTCAAATTAATGCTTTCGGTACGCCGTTCAATTTTAATTACACCAGCTAAGTTAAAGACGCCTCCCGACACCTCCGCGTTACTCTCTTTCGTATCCCAAGTTTATGTCCCGTGCATACATTATACCCGTTAATTTTAATTAAACAGTGTGCTCGGTCGACAATTAACTAATGAATAACACGGTGGCGTCGATGGTATAAAACACTCAGTAAAATATAACTCGTTAAGAACATTTTTACAGCCGCTCGGTGTTTTAACGATGTATATGACGCCTCATTTTCATTGCCTAGTAGTCATCGATAAAATAAATAATACATTTACAAAACAAAGTACATACTCTGAGTGAATTAAGATTTTCTCCGAAATTTATATTATTTTAAGAATAGTGACTATAAAATAAACATTGGTATGAATCGTTGAAATAAGTAACAATTGTCGTCCGTTAATGTATTCTCGTTCAACGTGATATTTGATTTTATAGAAATAAAAAGAAACCTACAGGAAAAATAAAAACATAGGCGAAGAAGGTGTTAGAACAAAGGAATAAAAGGTTAAGGAGCCATTTTAGATTTGATAACTTGTATATGCCAATACAGATGAATCGTATCTTTAACGGGATATCAAATATGGACGTCCAACTCTCAAACTTCGAATGTGTAACAGTTTTGTGTTATAATTTTTTAAGATCAAGGTACAGTCGTGTATCGGCCTCGACTTTTCAATGTCCAAGACTATTAACCTATTTACCTAAAAAAAAAAAAAATCGATTGACACAACTTTTTATTATTTTAATAAAGAACTAGATACATAAATAATTTTTGGGATAAAATTTTTTATAAAAACTAGCAATGCCTACAGTCTTTTAAAACAAAAACACATATAACTAGATATTGTACAAACTTATTATGATATATTATAGCCGGTTCGGAGTATAAAATATTTAGAGTGTACTTTAAACGTTTAAAAAATTATATTTGAACTATAAATGTCAAGCAATAAATCCATATAAAAATTAATTTTCTACACCGATAAATATGAAAATTTACAACAGAAAGTAAAATTCATAAAACAGAACAAAAAATTATAATATAAACTATAGGTGGGTATTTAGGGTGACAAAAAATAATACTATAATAATAAAAATACCATATTATTTTTAGTAATACAAAAGAATCTATAATGTTATATTATAAACAAACATGTTACAAATAAAAATGGTGATGATAGTAACCGAAATAAAATTTAATAATACTGTAAAAATGTAAAGTTGTCTAGTAACGGGAAGTCATTGGGAAAACTCAAAGGTTTGATTTTGATCATTATTTTTATTTGTCCTAATTAAATGATTGTAAATAGCTTAAAATGTGTTTGGAACTTGGCTATTACAGAACGCAATAAAGTGTATCGTTAATTTTAATAAACATGAACAAATATCGAAAATTGAATAAAAAGTTATGAAATTGAGTTAAAATGATATTTAGGGATATCGTAACATATACGTAAAATACTGTCAATGGGTATTTTTCTGTTGATTCGAAACGAGTAGTTCAGAGGAGAGAGAACGATGGGAAATGTAAGGCTATTTGCTCAAAATCCGTTTTTATAGAAGGTCCAGCATTTTTACGACGTCTATACATCTTAATTTTTATCAAGTTATGTCACTCTATGTTTATATATTTCATTTTACCCCACTGTTCTCTTAGGCGAAGGTACAGGCGTCGACCAGCGGCAATACGAGGGTTCAGTTAGGCGCCTTTATATACACGTTTTTGACACCGCTACTCGTCAAACTACTGAACGTCCAAATAGCGATTGGAGGGAGGGTGTTTGCGGGGCTAGTTTTATGGGCAACGCCAGTTAACTCAGTTATGTGTTTGCGAGTGATAGTTACAAATATAAATGGATGACCATCGACTTTTGGATAAGGGAGAATAGTCATAATGCAAGACTTTGGACATGAATTTACTTTATTACAGGGAATCAAGACAATGAAACCATTTTATTTAGTCTCACCAAATCGTATTTACAGTAAGATAATACATTTTAATGTTTAAGTTGGCCGTGATTTTATGGATTATTTTATTATTTAACATATTTAGAAATGCACGAATCAAAATACATTCTCTCTTATATAAATATAGAAAATTGTGCCTTTACCTGGTCATAAGGGAGTTTCAAAATAGCAACTTTTGCACAACAATTTAACTTAATTTATGAAAATGTTCCAGAAACACTGCGTCCTTTAAACATATGCAATTTAAATCTTATGTTACATATTATAGATAAAAAAAAATTTGTTCCAACACCTTAACTGCCATGCAAATTGCTACTGTAGTAAAAAAACATGGTATTTGGTTGTTGTGTAATTTTTTGTTTCATATTTTATTTTTCAAAAATAGTCATAACTTATTGAAAAATATATGGATAAAATGCATGTTTTTTGTACTTTATACAAATACCTTTTATCCGACATACTTTTATTAAATTAAAATATTGTATAAAGAGTAGTTATAGTGATGGGGTTACCTATTTTCATAAATGTTGTATGAATGTGATCTACATTGAATATAAAGTTAAACTTATTTTGATTTTGTTGCCAATGCCTAACTCTTAGGTTGAGAAAAACGACTTAAATTTGAATACCGAAATTGGTGGGACAAATTTACCCTAATTTTTTACTCGAAAATATTTATTTTGATTTTCTACATATCTTTAAATTAATATCCAACTTTATAAAGAAACTTTTTATTTATTTTTGTACGTTTTTCAATACCATGAAAAAAGGTTGGATCTACATCTCCTCCACTCCCCTTAAAAAAATTCAATAAGAAATTGTTTTTGTGCACATAGTCATTTTTATATACGTTTTAGATATCAGTAGATATAAATATATCAACTTACATTTAAGAGCCTTTTACATTTAGAAAACAAGTCAGAAAATTGTTTTTTAACTTACTGTATGTAACATAAGCTCTATTTTAACATATGTTTAAGCACGCAGTATTTAATTTTAAAAATTTACTTTAGTTGTGCCACTGAATATTTTATTTCGATATTTATTTGACAATTTTTTAAATATCTTTATGTTATAATTAATAAAAATAATTATGTCTGACCCGGAAAAAAGTTTTTCCAGAGGTTGATCAAAACACTCAATTTTATTTTATCTAAAATCAAAATAAGTTTGTTGACTTGATTTATACTCGATTAATCGAAATGTAGCGCATTTATACCATGAAATACATATAAAAGTGTAAGTTTCAATACGAGTTATGTTTTGTTCGATTCGTCTGGAAACGTTTTTTTGTTCCCACTTTAATTTCCAAACGAACGTACAACGAATCGTATTTGCCTTTGCAATTAAAACACCCGAAGATTAGGAAGGGGTGCGGTCAAAAGGGTGGTTGCCGCTACCCCTCTGTATAATATAATTTAATCAAGTCCGAAGTTAGTTAACATTGGAATTCACCAGCTCTAAACTTCTACCCCATCCTATGTCATTCACGACTTGTAAACCAAACATAAAATCAGTGACAATCAAGCTATATGCATAATTATATTACCATAATTATAACGTAAACAACAAAACATCATCCAGCTATCTGGAAACAAAGCTATGAAAGTACACAGTTATTACATTGTTGTCAAAATGATTAGTCTGTCTGATTTAATGAATATACTGAATAAAAAGAAAAAAGAGTTGTATATACTTTTGTAAATCTGTAAGTACTTTAAATCCTTTAAAATCACTTCATACTATTTTAATTATAGGGGTGATATTTAAAAGGAAGCAATTGTGTAAATTATGTATATAAAACTATGTCTTTTATAAAATTTCAAATAATCCGTACCGTGTGATAAAAGAATCCCGGTAGGTTTATAAGATGTGAATCTCAAGTTTAAGGATTTCTCAAAGACTAATATTAAATTGTTAATGAAGACAAGATTAATAAGTGTTATTAAAAATCCAATAACGTTTGATCCATGCATGAATTTACTTTTTAATTCGAAACAATTTTTGATTATACTATATACAATAAAAAATAAAAATAAAACAGTTAAAATATTTTAAATAGTTATCGAGAAATAATTAAATAATTACTAGAAAAAGGTAGCAGAGGCGGATCACGGCACGATAAAGACCATTGTAAATGTCTATTGAAATTGAAATCTCTATCATAAAACCCATCAACGCCATTGTGTTTAAAGAAAGTTCAATCATTCTACCTTACGTTAGTTAATTAGAAATCCAGTATTTATAATAAAAAACACTGTTACAATTTAATTTTCATTTTTAAAAATGGGGATACCAACTACTCTACAATGGTGGGCATTAAATAGTAAAAAATTTAAATTTAAGTTAAAAAGTTAATTTTTTTTTTAACTTTTGAACTTAACTAATTTAATTTTCCGTTGAAATAACTTAGCTTTTTTCAGTTAATTAGTTAAAATAACAGTTAAGCTAAATTCAATATTTTTTAAAAAATATATGTTATTAAACGATGCGTCAGATTTATAAAAAAAATATACCAAATGTAAGGTACAGACATCATGCATTTATATAAAAAAATTATATTGATTTTAAAAAAGTTATGGCAGTTTTAAGTAAAAAAAATTGAAAAAACTTCGAAAATTAGTGATTTTGAAATTTGTAATTTTTTTGGAGGTTTCCCCCATTTACGTGGAAAGATGGAAATTTTTTCAATTTTTGAGGGTAATGTCTTCGATTAGATTCGATTTGTGATATTTTGACGTATCGTTGAAAGAAATCGGTTCGATGAGAGCTGATAAAAAGTGGTAAAAGACACAAAAAAAAAAAAATAAAATAAAAAAAAAAAACACATCATAGTAAACCCAATACCTTCTCACTGAGAAGCTTTGCATTGAAGCTAAAAGAGATGGAAGGATGTTATTGAATGTGATATGAGGACGGCTGATGTAAACATAGATGATGTGGGAGTTTGTGTCAAGTGGACGTTTAGGATAAGGTTGGCCGACTCCAAGTAGTTGGAATTAAGGCAAGAAAAAGGAAAAAGAAGATTCAACTTTAAAAGTTGAAAATCAATTTTTAGCTTTCCCTACATCACCATCCAATAATAAATGATTTTAAGAGATTTTAGACAAAAAATTAATTTTAAATAAAATAAACTTTTTCTAAACTAGTTAAGTTAAAAAAAAATTCAACTTACCTTATAACTTAGCTAGCTAAAGTTTATCGAAATTGATCATACTCAACTTTTCCATTAACTTGACCATCTTTGCTACTCTATATATTTATACAATTTGACTTAAAGTGTATGCAAAAAAATTTGAAAAAAAAAACGAATAAACTAGAAAATTACGTAATAATTTACTACATTAATTTCAATTGTTTTTGGTATCATGATTCATAAAATTGAATAAGTGATTTTTTACACAACAATAGCATTTATTGTTAAACTTTGGGAGTTGTTTATTTATACGATACAGTCGTTAGGACATTTTTTTTTAAATTTATAGTAAATTATATAACTTGCCCTTTATATATATTTAAAGGGCGCAGGATTTTCGGAACATTTTCAAAAGTGAAGTTAAACAAATTCCAATTTTTATATGTGTTTCAAGTTTTAAATCCCTCTCCCATTTGTATAAAAGGAAATGGTCAGATTTAAAAAAAAATACGTCAAATGAATAAGATAAGTATAAACTTATAAAATGAAAATAACTATTGGTTCATACATTTTTCAAAAAGTTTTAGGAATATAAAATCAGAAATATATATTACAAATTTCACCACAAAAGGACGCAGATATTCCAAAACATTTTTAAAAATTGAAATGACAAACAATTATTAGGTATTTAGATATAATTGCTTTATAATCATTTGTTACTTAGATTTTTAATTGGATTTATATAAAAAATGTACTAATATACATTTACTTTTATTATTACATTATAAAAATCCACTCAAAAATCGTATTAAAACCCAATCAATAATTTTTTAAGATTTGATGCGAAACTGAAAAGGTATTAATTTTACTATGATGTGTTTTTATTTATGTTTCTATCACTATTTTTTCTCGGCTCTCACCGGACCGATTTTTTTCGGTAATGATACGTCAAAAGATCAAAAATCGTATATAGATGAAGAAATTACCTTCAAAAATCGAAAACTTTTCTCTCGTTCCTCATAAATGATTGAAATCCCATAAAAAAATTACGATTTTTAAAATGTGTGACAAAACGACATGCTTTAAACTTTTTTTCTTAAAACTGTCATTACATATTTTGAAATGAACGAATGAAAATAATTTTTTTATATAATTACCCAAATCGAGATTCAAAATAGTAACTTTTGCACAAAATTTTAACCTTTTCAACTTAAGTTTTAAAAATGTTCCGGAAATAATCCGAAGTTCAAATATATGTTAAAATAAATCTTATGTTATATACTACAAGTGTCTTATTTAAGTATATTCGAGGATAATATCGAGTTTTGATACATTACAACGATTATTGTGTGATTCAATAATTAATGTCAAATATCACAAAAATATAATCCCTAGTATGGATAGCACATATTTTGGAAGAATGTAGTCATAATAAATCAAACTTAGTAAATATTACAATAATAATAGCTAAAGTAGTTTATTGTAAAATTATTTTCAAACGTAAAATATGGAAAGAAGATTCTCTTTTTTCAAACAGTGTGGCCATTTCACGTTTAGTACACAAAAAAGCTATTCCAAATAATTTAATAAATACGTAAAAGCTCACTCGTATCACCACAGATTATATGAAAGAATTATCTTTTTATAATATAGTCTGTGATATCACGCTAATTACTGATAACAAAAAAAAAATTAAGTGAAAGTAAATAGTAATAAAGATTTATAATAATTCTATAGTCATTTAGGATATTTGATATGTTAATTAAAGTTATTTTAATTTACTTTTTCTTTTGGTGGATTTTATAATTTTACTCTGATTCATGTTATTTTTTCCTAACTATGATACTACAAAATAAAATTTTACTGCTTTAAAATCTAAACACTGTAGTTGAACAAGTACTATTTTCCAAAAATTTTTAGGATATAAAATCCTAGTTGTTTTTATAATTTACAGTATGAATCATCAAGTGTCTTTAGACTCTATTCCAACTGAAGTAAAATAAAAATAATTTAATATTTAATACATTTAGTATACCTTAAATTTTGATTGTTTGTAGGTATTTTTGATGATTTGTGAAAGTCTTGATGCTGATACTTTATTGCGGTCATTGATGTTTGTATGTAAACAATTTCATGAAGTTATTAATGATAGATACCTTTGGAAAAAAAGAGTAATGCAGAAATTTGATGATTGTGATGTGGCTTTTATGCTGACAGATAAATATCATGGTAATACTAGTAACTGTAAATTTATTTTATATATTAATTTTGATTTTTAGAATAGACTATTTAACAATACAAATTTTATTTCTGAGTTTTACAGTCAAAAAAATAAGAAATTTAAACTTCATTTTAATGTATAATCTAATCAACAATATTTTATTGTTGATATTGATTTTTAATAATTTCACTAAAATTTATGTGCATGCTATTTGCTTCAAAAAATCTTTTCATGGTTTTGTGTATAGTACAAATGTCTAGTTAACATGGGCATTTTTGTTATTTCCCAAAATATTTTTCAATACTTTTATTTTAATTATTTTTTTGTTTCCTTACAGACTTAATAGTTTTTTTATTGACTTATTTTAAATGATTACGAGTATCTAGAAGTTCTTTTCAATTGGAGAAGTTAACATTATACTATTTATTCTGTTTTAAGGCTGGATATATTTCCAGCCCTGGAACAGAAAAAATAGTCAACTTGAACTTCTTGTTAAGTTAATAGACAATCAATAGTTTTGACACCATAATTGAAATCTCTTATTCAATAACTATATATATTCACATTTTAGCTTCAATGCAAAGCTGAAAAGGTATTGGTTTTACTGTGTTTTTTTTGGAAAAAAAATTTTGCACTTTATTTTGTCTTCACAGTGAAAATAGTTACCAAATGCTATTTTTGTGTGAAAATTCTGGATTTTATTTTTACATTTTTAACTTTATAATGCTTTAACTTATTGAAAAATATATGGATCAATACAAATTTTTTATGAGAATTAATATTTATATCCCTCTTTCATTCAACATACTTTATCTTAATCAGGATATAAATAAGGAAATAGCAGATCATGTAGCTTTTGTAATAATCCACCAATTTTTTAAAATTAAACATTATGTAAAAATTTGCATCGAAGCGTTTTTTATAACAGTAATTTTAATCACTGTCATATATCATTATACTTGACCCAACTATGCCACATCACCACTGTGCCGCCAACCCTTGTGTTGCGTGTTTTTAAAAGTTCATTTAAAAAAAATGTACATATGCATTTTGTATAGGCGCATAAAACCATACGTACAATAATTTACCACAGATTACCAATAGAACTAATTTTTTTTTTACATTCTAATATAAAAAAATTGTTCTTTGTGTCTTTTGAACATTTTAAAAATAAACTATTTAATATTGTACCAATGTGTTGAATTTCTAGTATTTTCATTATGAAATTAGTATTGACATCTCTTGTGATGAATATCATTATTAATGTAAATTTTTTTTTTAATTTTAATTTTAACATTAAACTCAATAATACTTGCTGTGAATTTAAAGTAAAATTGAATAGTTAGTTATACTAACTGACTGAATATTAGTCTAATTTTCATCCTGACCTTCATGTTTTGATCTTAGAAGAGACATTTAATTGGAAGCAATTTGCATGGCACACTGAGCTAGAGGAAGAATGTTGGAGTAATTATCAAAAAAATACTGAAACTTCAGTTTTTAGTGGTGCTCATTTTTCTGAAGTAGATGCTGTTATAATGACAAAAGTATGAGAAAAATATATTTAGAATTTGTTTTATACAATACTTTTCAATCAATAAAAAACATCATATGTTAGGATGGGAATCATTGTATCTCTGCATCTAGAGATCGTTCAATTTGTTTATGGAACACAAATAAAGCAGTTCCTAATCCTGTAGTTCATAAAGTTGATAGTCATACAGGTTGGATTTGGGATTTAAATGTGTATGATGATAATCACTTCTTATCATGTTCATGGGATTCAAATGTTAAGCTATGGAATATAGGTAGTTTTTCTCAAGATGCTGAACCAATTAATACATTTATGTAAGTTAAATTCTATAAAGGTTATCAGTACTTTATAAATATTTTGATTTCAGTGCTGATTCCGCTGTATTGTCAGTCACATGTAAAGAGAATTTTGTTGCTGCTGGTCTTTATACTCCTAAAGTAGTTGCATTTGACCCACGGGATTGTGAAAAACGATTGTTTGAACTAAACCCTCATACACGGTGTATCATAGAATTATGTTTAGTTCAAGATTATTATTTAATTTCTTTAAGTGAAGATAGAACAATGTCTGTATGGGATTTGCGTACTCATAAAACTGTAAAATCAATGTATCTTGCTAAAGTAAGATTAATGAATAGTTAAAATAATTCAATCAGTTGCAAAAGGAAGCATGTCTAAAATAACTTTTTTTTTTGTACAATTTACTCTTATTTATTTTTATCAAAATACATAATAACAAATACTAAAAAATACTTTTGTTTACACATGGTCATCATAATACAAGAGATGTTATTACTCAAAACCATACCAACATAGGAGTGAGCAACTACAAATGGTATAAAATAGATACCTAAATTTTCAAAATTAAGAATTTTTCATAATAAATCAACTATGACTTCTATAAAGATACTCCACACTATAATGTGGTAAAAGTATCTGTACTTAAGTTTTTATATAAATATCTATTTACAATTGCTTGTAATAATTGTACAAAATGAGCTATTGGCTCTATAACTAAAACTTGCTGGCCCTCAAAGCTCATAGTAATTGAATTTAACATTATTTCCTATTATAGTGTTGAGTATTCATATTAGTATATATTTTTAACTATCATTAATTTAAATTTATGCCTTCTCAAAATGCAATTTAAATAATGTATTTTACTATTTTTTTTTAGCACGGTAGTCGATTTCCTATGTGTGCATCTTATTATGATAATGTTTTATTTGTTGGTGATAGTCGTGATTATATGTATTGGCTAGATTGTGCTAATGGGTCATTCAATATACTTGAGGTATTGTTATTGCCAAATTACTTATTAACTTATAAAACAATAAACATCTGATCCTTTTAATTTTAGACAGTAAAATTCGTTAAGCCTATTAATGAAAGTAGAAGACGTTACAAACTGAACTGTATAAAATGTACCAATTATGGAAGTATTATAACTGGTGGTAATGAAGGTGCTATATATATTATTACTCCAACTAATCCTCCTAAAATCATAGCTAAAATTATTGATTCGGGATCTGAAATAACATCTGTAAGTTTTTAATTATTTTAAGGTAAACATTGATACTCACAAAGAATTATTTTCAGATTGATTATCAAAATAATACCTTAGTTGTTGGATATGTAAACAGTTCAGTACAAGTTTGGAAAAAAAAAAGTTGTATCTGTGATATCTCAAATTGAATCTTACTGAATTATTATTAATTGTTAAAATGTTTTTTGTAAACATTTCTTGTTAAAACTATTTTTAATTTAAGAGAGATGGTTCCATGATATGATTTTATAATTGTGATTTGTAATTAGTAATTTTAATATTCGTATATTTTAACAAACTAATTTTTATTTAACGATACTTTTTTCTGAATGATCCAATTAATTATAATTGTTCATGTTAAATCCAAATTACAGTATTTATTTATTAATAGTTTTGTTTAAACCCATGAATGACTAAAATTTCTCTTTTTTTTTTGACTGATTTAATTATTTTTTATTTTTAAATACCAAAAAGTTTTTTTTTTACTGTTAAAATTTTTTGTAAATTTTATTCGACATTTTTGTATTTTCATATTTTACCTATATTAGATATATTATGTTTTTTTTTTTTTATTTAATTTTTACTGACTGCCGTGTTCCTCCTTATATCAGTATAATTTTATTTTGTTTTTTATTCACACTATGATTTAGCTATAATTCCAAAAACTACTTATAAACTAAATTATTTCAATCGGTTACCTTTCGCATTACTTTACTTAAAATTAACATTATTTATTTATTATTTGATTTAGGGAAATTTTTTCAATTTCCTTAAAAAAAAATGGGTTTTAAAATAATTGATTATCTAGTTTTTTATTCATTCACTAGAGTAACTTTTAAATTATAATTGTTTTATTAGTTAATATTTAAATAAATATTTGGGCTTAATAACACTTTATGCACAAGACATTTCTAATTTGTTATTAATTAATTCATTTTTTATAAAATATCATCCATAGTTGAAATGATATGGTAGAACATTTATTATAAAGTAAACAATTTTAGTTAATAATACAATTTTTAAATATTTAGAAAAATTTACTTGTCATTTATTTTAAAATCTATAATTATTTTAAATTACATATCTATAAGACAAATTATTTATGTATATATATATGTATATAATTACAAGGGAATATTAACTGCAATTAATTATTTGTAAAAAATATGTAACTCGATAATCCTTGATGAAAAAGTATATTATCATATTCTAGTCTTTAATCAGTATACAATACTTGTAAATTTTTGTTTCAACTTTTAACAAATATCTTGTTTTTATCTTTTATATAAAACACTTATTAAACCTATTTTTATAACAAATAAGTTTTAAAAAATACTAAATCATAATAATAAAAATGTTGTTTAAAGAATAAAAAGGGTAATAATATAAATAACTGTGTATTAACTATTATAATTTTTGACTAAAAACCATTTAATTATTTGTTAATTTTATTTAGATATTCTATAATCAAAATCTTTGAGGTCAAATAATTAATAATTTATTGCTGTGAAAAATAAAATTAAAGAATTTTTTAACATTTAGTATGTGTATATATTGTTCTATTGTTATATTTATATTGTGTATATTGTGTATAACACAATATAAAGTAAACCATTATCTCAAAAAAAAAAAAACTCAATTGTCTATAGCCAAGTAGAAAACTAACCTAATTTTTAATGTAATCTTAAGACTAGTATCTCTAAACAAATTACATTTTATTATATCATGGCTTGTACTATAACATTAAGTATCAAATTTTGACAAAATGAGATTTTTATATTTAATGATAAAAGAAGTATTTCTAAAAAAATTTGCTATATATTAATTTTCTATTAATAGTTATGAAAATAAAATCACATCTTGGACATCAAAATATTTATAAAAAAAAATTGGTTTTTTTCCATAAAAACCTAGAAAACTGAGATACACACTATTGCAGTATAAATGACAATTTTTTATACATTTGGATTTACAATGTTTAATTTTATAAAAAATATAAAATTTATCATGAATAATCACTTTACTATCAATATTAAATATAGAGAATTTTAATACCATTTACTAAATAAAAATAATCTAATATGTTAAAAGACCAGAGTAATTCACAATAAAATATAATTTATTATTAAGATAAACATATAAATAATAGTTAAAACTAAAGTATATTTTTATATTAATCAATTTTAAATGATTATATTTTTATAAGTAGGTAATTATTATTTGTTTAAAATAATAAATTTAGAGTCTTCAATTGCATGTATTATATTGTATAATATAAGCATTGGCAACATAAACATTAAAATTAAAAACAATTCTATACATTCAACAAAACTAACTAATAAAAGATAATAATAAATAACACTTAATTATTTTTATTAAGATTATTGTTATTATTATAATTAAGATATAAAACAGCATTAAAAAAAACCATAACATTAAAATTAATACATAAAACTAGAAACTATTATCTTTATGATGTTGATCAATAGCATAAATTTTAATTAGCAAAATTTGAAAAGTTAATTCCAAAATACTTGTTTCCCAATTGGATGGTCACGTTTATAAGGAAAGGAAGAGGGATCCACTCTGGAATGTTGGTGATAAAGGAACTTTAAGGAATTTATACACAATGGACATAGTTTTTTTAATTAGGAATTAAAAATTCCAAAAAAAAAAAGAGAAATTCACAAAAGGGTATATAGTATTGCTCAAGCATTTTGGTCAGCAGGTTTAAAAATTTGCATACAATTAATATAAGCATTTAACAAACACAAAATTATAATATATGTATGTAAAAAAAAAAAAAAAAAAACTATAGAAGACAAATAATTGTAATAAATTGTGATTATGCTAACAATTATACTAAATTGACATATTATATCAAAGTTGGTTGTGAATAATCAATCACATCAAACAGATTAAAAAATGTTATAACAGGTAATTAGAAAGTTAGAAATTGTTCTACCCCCCCTCCCTTCCCTCCCACACATTACCCGAGAAGCTAGATTTCAATTTGATACGCTGAAGATTAAACCCCAAAAGATGCAACATTGGAATCACCCAATTTGCGTCCTAGTAATCCTGTTAAAAAAATATACATATAATTATTTTTTTTATTATTTATTTCTAATTGTAAAATAAATATTAACTTACAGAGTTGCTTTAAATCCCATAGGCAGTTGACAAACGGTCCTTCAACTGAGGAGGAAATTGATCAGTAAATCTTGTCCAATTTTCTTCACCAACTTGATTTTTAAACCCATGTAAAATCTAAAATTAATTTTTATTTATTGTAATCAAATTGTATAATTATAAATTAAAATATACAATTTGAAAAAAATATTACTTTGTAAAACATCTCTTTTAAATCTTCTTTTGGATTAACCCATGATGCAATAGCGTCACAGAAAAATATGAAATCTTGTACTACTCCACCAGGATTTACACTTATCATTTGACACATACCTCTAAATGCACTATCTTTTTCATCATTATCTCGGATATTTCGTAATGATGTGCACCTGAAATTTCAGCAAAAATATGAAAAACTACATCAAATGAAAGTTTTTAGAGTTTATGTAGCAAAAATTATGTCCTCACAGCCAGATAAAAGTTCAAAAATATTTTAATTAAAAATAATAATAGTAATATAAAATAAATAAGTAATTAGAGAAAAAATAAAAAAATGGTACACACCACATGCGTACAAACTGTTGTAACACTGGGGCGACGTCTTGAGGGCACACATAACCTAGACGGCCAATTGTAATTGCTATAAAAAAAAACAAAAACAAAAACAAAAAAAACTAATAAAAAATAAATCCATCAAACAAATAAAATTGTAAACAATAATAATGTACTATGAAAATGTTACAAAAAAAATAAAATATAATACACATTGTTGATTTCTACAAATCATGTACACCATAATTAAGTTATATCATCACAAATATGATATTAGATTTTATCCTAAGGGTTCAGAATAGTAAGTATTTTTTAATTCATATAATAATTAAACATGGCCACTGGGGATTGATGCCCGATTGTAAAATGTGTACCGGAATTTGTGTGAAAAAAGAGACACGATACGAGATTAGCATACTCAAGGAGTTGAAGAGACAAACCTTATCACTAGGTGGCAAGTTTACCGTGCACTAATGATTTAGATCACGATACATTTACATTTAGATTGAAAACATGAAGTGCGGCTGAGGGAAATACGGTACCGTGTCAAATTAAAAGCCTGTTAATAAATTACTTTTTTTTGATAAAAAAAAAAAAAAATTAAATTAATAATTGTTAAAATAATTTAATTTAGATTAACAAGTAAATTTAATATAAAATTAATCACCTATACAGTAATAATATTTTTTTTTAAGAAGTTAATACTAAATTTATTGCATTTTATAATTACCTGTATTTTCCAACAATGTTTTTGGAGTATTTGGTCTATTCATTATTAATACTAATTGAGTAAGAATCATTGGTATGTATGGTTGCATTTCAGTACCTTATAAAAATAACATATAAAACAAAAATATATTAGTTTAAAATTGAGCAATTAAAATCATTACCTAGTTTTACAGCTATTTCACCAATAGCCCATGTAGCATTATTACAAACAGATATATGATCTGGATTTAAATTTTGTGCTAAGATTGGCATAAAGTCAGCTAAACATAAAAAAATTCTTATAATATATTGAACTTTTAACTTATAATAAAATTGTTGTTTAACAACTGAATTATACCTATACATGGATGCACATGTTGAAAACAAGCTTTAGTCAAATCTCCAAGAAGAGCAAATGAACTTTGTCTAACCTCAGCTAATGGGTCTTGCATACACTGATAGAGCAATTGTAGAGTGTTTGATCCACTTATTAAACTCTCTATGAATGTAGTAAGCCCTTCTGCTAAACCCGATAAAAGATCTAAAGCAACTATCATGAAGTCTTTATCAGGCGCATCAAATTGATCAGGGCTTTGAGAATTAGCCTTAACAATTAACAACAGAATAATTAAAAAATAATAATCTATTACCTAATTTTTATTCAATACTTACAATATTTTGATTTAAAGTTTGTTCAACAAGTGAAATACATCTTTTAAATACTGGTTCAGCATAAGGCATAAATCCAGATTGTAAAGCAGTTGCTACACTAGATAAACACTATTTGAAGAAAATACATTTAACAATCAAATTAATACTTAAAAGATCATGGATAACACAAATTTAAAATTGTTTAATTCTCTAATTTTTCAAGTTAAATATATAAAAATTGTATACTTGCTTCAGGGATGTAAATATACATTAATTATAGAGGAAGGTGTATGAAATCATTGATATCCTTTTTTTAAATGTTATTTGCATAGGTACAATAGAGAGACTAAAGAGGGCTATAAACTACTGAAAATTAACTCAGATATCGGTCTAAATATGTAATAGTATTCATCAGTTTTTAAAAATTACAGACAAAATGATCAAATTCCATGATTTCTTATAACTAATTTTAAATTCCATAACTTTTCTATGTTTACCAGACATTAAGAATATATAAATGATAATAACATATAATTAGAAAATATATGTATCACATTATGATAGTCAATTGGAAATTATAGTTTTTAATTAATCAATAATTCAATTATAGTTTATACATACTTCTAACAAAGGAAATAAATCTTTATCTTCATCTTTAAGGGCATTCCATTTTTGTATTAATGGTGGCATTAATAAATTAATATACTCAGGTTTATTTAAATGATGACCAACAGAATCAGCTAATGTTCCAATAGCATCATAAAGTATCAACAAATTTTTATGCTAGAATAATAATTTAACATTAAGCTAAACTCTAATAAAATAGCTAAGTTAGTATCTACCTGATATTTATTAAATGCAAAAACTAATGTCTGTAAAATAAATCCTAGATATGGTACTAATTCAGTTGTAGCTTCCTCTTCTAAGGTGGCAAAAGCAGAGCATGCTGCTTCTTGTACTCTTTTGTTGGAATCTAAAATTCTCTTAAGAAGCTATATATATAAAAAGCAAAAATATTAATTGAAAACTTATATTAAATAACTATTAACTAAAATATTGCATAATTTATATGTTTTAACATAAAAATTATATTAAAGTATTAATCTTAAATTTCTTCAAAGCAAATCTGTACATAATGCATAAAAAATAATAAACAGAAGAAGCTTTACCAATAAAGACTTTTATATGACGAAAAAGAAATTATATTAATACAAAATACATATTAACCTAGACAGCCAACCAAAATTTAAAGAAAAAAAAATTGTCATTCTTAAGTTTTTATGGAAATAATAAAGAAAAGAGATATATAATGTTATTTTGGTCTATTTATTAACAATTCAGAATGAAGCATAAGAAATTAATGATATCATTAATACATGAAAAAATATTTTAAATATATTAATTAAGTATACTCACTTCATGCATCATTGGTTTTAAATATTGTTCATGTGGTTGACTTACAACCCAATGACAATAACGTGATAATGTCCAACATATAATAGCTCGAACTAAAGCTTTTTTGTCACTTAAATGATTGATCATATATGGGATCAATTCATTCAAATGTGGGATCATACCATTCATACAACCTTTAAAAATTTTTTAAATATATATATATATATACACACACACACAGAAAGATTTACTTATGATCCAATTAATTCATCGAAAAATAAAAATTATAATAATTTTTTTATTGGTTTCTTTTAGTTCAATGTATCTCTCAGTATTTCAATAATTTAGTTTTTTTTATCAACCAATTTTATTCTTACTTAGATCATTATCTAATAAATAAGCTGGTTAGTTATATATGTTGCCATTTGAAAAATTAAAGTTGATACCCTTATTATAAAGTATACGGGATGAACATAAAAAAACTTTAAGGTTGAAAATTTGTGATCAACATTGAACTAAAAATAACCAATAAAGTATTATTATTTTTATTTTTCGATGAATTAAGTGGATCATGATAAGTGAATCACCCTGTATTTACACAGTATAATTACAAATTATACAATTTATTACCTTCGGCAATTGCGCCAAGAGCTAGAATACCAGATTCTTTTACTTCCCAATCATTAGATGATAAGGTTTCTTTTAATATTGGCATAAGTATAGGAAGAATTTCCTCTTTAAATACATTAGCTAGCACATCAAGGGCTGCAGCACTACATTTTCCTAAGTGTAATTAATTGGATAAATTAATATAAATCAAAAGAATTTATAGTTTTAAATATAATAAGTCACAAAAATATACTTAAACTAACTTAAATTCCAATCTGATAAGCTACTGTCATCTCCTAAATTGTCTTCATCTTCTTCATCTTCATTATTATCTTCTTCTTGTCCATGTGTACGAGATTTGTGAAATCTTGGACGAATATCTTCTTCGCGATCAGGAACATTTTCATCTTCCTCAACATCACCCTAAATTATTATAAATATAAAATGTTGATAAATAAATATTAAATGTTCAATTAGTTTTTTTAAGTCATCATAAATTAAGTTACCTTAAGTAAAATGACATCAATTTCAGAATATCGCATGCCATTAACAAGAATTGGTATGAGCCGAGGTAAATAAGGAGTTAGAGCTTCTTTACAAATATGCTGATCAGCTATAGACAACCAAAATTCACATGCCTCTAGGGCTACATTTTCATCCGGATCTTGAGTTCTCAACAACATATACTAAACAAAAAAATAACTTGTTGAAAAATATTGAATATATTGAAAAATGAAGAGTAGCATATTAAAATAAGGACATTTATTTAATCATATAAATATTAACTTTATTATAGAGTTTAAACTAATTTGAAAAAATAGTATGGTTATTAAAGTTATATATTACTATATTTATTTTTCACTTTTTAGTTTTTTATGACATCGCTGTTACAGTCACGGAGTGTTTATTGTCAATTATCACTATCAATAGATATAATTTCTGTATTCCCAGTTGGTGTGTTTCTTAACTCACAACAATGCATCTTATTACCATTGATAATTAAGGCTATATGCTTGTTAATATTGTCAAAAAAACCAATTAGCTACCTGTATTTGTACTCCTTATGTATTAAACATGTATATTTACTCAAAAAAATTTGAATCTTTAAATGTTTATAACTAATAATTAACAATAAAAATTTGTTTATACATACATATATATATATATATATATATATAATATTGATGATATGCCCACATGTACGGGTACGAAAACTAAAAGTTATACAGGAAAATATTTTTATCGGCGAGTGGTGAGCGGTGTGGGGTAAATGCATTACGACAGTCTAGTCTCCAGGCTATAGAGGAGATTTATAACACGTGGCGCGTGGAGAGTTACAAACAAATAACATGCACGTGAAACTAATATAAGCGTGTTAAAAAAAAAAAAACAATAAAATAAAATAATTTATAGTATAAAATAATCTATAGATTACTATTTTACAAGTTTTTCTTTATATACAATAAACTTTAAATGAGCTTAAATTCAAAATATTTATATTAATATAGTTGGTAAATTTTTAAATATTTGCTCTATAAACATGAAATTGATAAAGATTTCTTTATAAGTTTTTCACAGAAAAAAAATGGATATAAAGTAATAGTAAAATGTATTCTGATGATAATAATTTATATATTGCAACTCATACTTATAAGCTTAAAATTAAAACTTTATGCTACTTTCCATAAAAAATATAATATTAACATCAATATATTAACCTCAATTATATCATGTAGATGAGGAAGCAATCTATCCATTCTTACTTCCAAAAGCATAACTATTGCTCTACAAACATTTTTTCTAACTTCAGCTTCATCATCGACAGCGAGATGAAATAAATTCTAAAAATAATCAAGAAAAATTAATTTTCTTGAATTCATATTATAAAATGAACACAAATATATAAAAAGTGAACTAAATATTACACAACATTAAACAAAAATCAAAATAAAAGGAACATAGACAGTTTATTATTTTTCATTTGTAATGTTAAAATCTTTCTAAAACAAGAGTTTAAATGTTACAATAAAAAACAAAATAAAATTCAGCATAGTATCATTAACTGAATATATCCATATTTATGAATAATAATTTATATTAATTAACTTTTTGGAAATCATAAATAAATACTGAAATTTTATAATTAAATAAATTATAAAAATTGTTTGTCTAATTATATTACATTTAACACAAATTAGTGGATTTTATTGAAATATCATCGAAAATGTTATTTTAAAATAAAGTAATATTATTTTAATTTTATTAAAATAATAGATCCTTTTTGAGATACTTTATATGAAAAATTGATTTTCTGCTATCATCTCTAATACTATAAACTCATATCAACTTTTGATTTTCAAATAACAACTCGAAAGTTTTTTTATATTATCAGATTAAATTGAAAAAAATAATTTTTTTAATAGCATTGGATTTTCAACGAGGTGCAGGTGTTTAAATTTTAAGGTCAATTAGAAAAAAATATACCTATTTTTAAAAGACATCAATATTATAATGTCTATATTGATAATTACTACCATTTCATAGAAATATAATTAACTATACCACTCTACCAAATTATAAATTAATAGTACTTACCAATTATGATTAATAGTATCAATTTATGACTCAATAAAGATGCAATCTTTTAAAATTAAATTCATTTTTTTTCTGATTGCTCCTAAAACTTTAACAACTGTAACTCGTTGAAAACCCAATGCTATTAAAAAAATGATTTTTTTTAATTTAATCTGATGATATAAAAAAACTTTCGAGTTGTTATTTGAAAATCAAAAGTTGATGAGTTTAGGGTATTAGAGATGATAGCAGAAAATTAATTTTTCATATAAAGCATCTCAATAAAAATCCATTATTGTTATAAAAATAAAATAATGATAAGTTCCAGTATTTTGTAAGGCATAGTTAAAAAATCTCCCTGTATATCTATAATAATAATTAATGTAAGAAAATAATTAAACTGACAACAATAAATTTATTTAAAAAATAACCCATGTAGTACAGAATTTTGTATAAATATTAAAATTAAACTCAAGTTAAATTTTTAATTTTATCAAATTTTTATATTATTATTTATAAAACGACAACAAATATACAATAAAAATATGACACAAATAGCTTTTAGTATTAGAAACTAGGGATTTTAGTAGATGTTTGCTAGAGTAATGCTAACAAACTGGATACAAAAACCATTTTTAACTTGTTTTAAACTAAAGTTTAAAATTTTCAAAGTAATTTAACCAATTAATTTTTTTCATCAAAATTAACGTTTAAACATAATTTGTGGAAGTATTTTTACCTCTAAAAACATATCTATATGATTCATTAAAGATGGTGTTTTCTGAACAATAAACTGATTAACGCAGCCGATTGCATGGGATCTAAACAAATTATTATTAAAATCAAGAATTATTACTATTGTCATATTTTTTCCATTGTAATATTTACCTAATTTTAGGACTTGAATGTTTAAAGAAATGTAAAAATTTTGGAATAAGAATATCAAGTGGTTTATTTTGTTTGTCATCTTCTAAGTAATCTGATGAATCTTCACAAATTTTTTGTAAGGCTCCAAATGCACCCTATAAAAAAATAGTAATATGAGTATATTTTCATTTTTTTAAATGATTGTTTTTATAGATATTAAGACTTAATTAATTTAATTAGTATGATAAAATATTTTGTTGTAATAATATGATTAACTAAATATCAAACTTGAGTAAATCATCAATATTAAATATATTAACAACAATCTATAATTATTAGGCAAAGCTATTAAATTAAAAAGTATACTTGGATAAATCTTAAAAAAAAAAAAACATTATTATTTTAAAATTTTTGAATTCATTGAAGTACTTAGACAAAAATAAAATTATATATATATACACCTTGGAATAAACTAGTACAAAAGTTCAAAGTTTGTTTTAGTGAACAGAAATAAATTAAGATCCAGTGATTTAGAATTAATATTTTAAAGTTCTTATTATTTTATAAATTTTAATTTATTATATTTGTAAGTTCAAATTAAAAAGAATTTTTACCAACTAACAATAATTTTGACTCATAGACCAGCATGTAAGCAAGTTAAAAATGATTATTGCATAAATCTAAGAATAATTTTTTAAATCTTTTTATATAATAAAAAACAAACAAAAATTAAATAAAATTTAAGTAAAGAAATAATATTTCTATTAAAAATCTTACTTCACAAACATTGTAATCAGCTGAATCTAGCATTTGGCATAAAGCAGGTAATAATTCAGGCCAAGTATTTATACCTCGTGAAGCTATAGTTGTTATCAATATTCCAACAGTTGCTCTTATTAATGGAGAAGCATCTCCAACTGCAGTTAAACATTCTGACTTAACAAATTCTGTTACTGATGGAGATAGATTCTCATAATGGCTTTTGATATTATTTTTTAAAATTAAACCACTTAATGACCTTGTAGGCTCATCTAATAAAAATAAAGTGATAATTATCTATCAACCCTTATTTTAGAATAAAAATAAAGAATAAATAATCTTCATATTCATCTAAAAACTAAAATTTAAAATTATAAGATATTATGCTTTAAATGAAAATCTAATATTTTCTCTAAATGCAACTCTAATTTATGGAGTATTAAATCTTATGAGTAAATAGCAAATGTAACTTACCCTCTGTTGTAAGTTTTGTTAACACAAAAATCAAATAATTATTGAAATCTGTTACTTGATTTAGCTCCTCAAGTTTCTAATTTTAAATAAAATAATATAGGACAATATATCAATATTGCATTAAAATATAGAATCATACAACAATTGATCAAATCAATGAACAAAACTTATTCCATAAGATCTGCATTAAAAGTAATTAATTATAAAAACTCATCATTCTTATATATATTTGCTTTTTTATTTTTAAAATATTTAATAAATACTCATTTCCAGTAATCCTAAGATAAAAAAATTTGTTTCATATACCAAAAAAAGTCATTTGTTAATAAATGAAAGAAAGCATTATTGTTTTTTGAAGAATTAAATTTATCAATCAAATATAAACATTTTTTTTTTCAAAACTAATTAGAGATTTTTATTATTCACCATTTTAATGCAGATGTCATAATTAAACGCATCAAATTGGGAAACATATTGATAATATTAATTCAGTATATTTGATTTAATTTCTAGAAATGTTTTGTAATATTTTACATTAACTATCATTTTTTTAAAAATTATTTAAGATTCAACATAAATTATCATTTTATTATAATAGTTAAAAACATTCAATAAGTTAATTAGAGTAATTGAAATAAAATAAAATTTAAATAAATTAAATATTTACAAATAATAAATGAAAAATAATTTTTAGTTAGGCACATTAGGGTGAGAAATTTAACTGCAGCTAATATAAATGATAAATTAAATTCATTTAAAATTATAGAAGTCATTGGTGACATCACATTTCTGATCAAAATTTTTTATTTTCAAAAAAGGATACTTGTTGCACTGTCCTTTGAATGACAGTGTCTGGTGATTGAGATTCCTTTAGCAATTGAATGATTTGCCTTAATCCCTCTTCCTGCGGCTGCCAAGTCATTATCATGCTACACTAATGACTTAAAACTCACTACACTTCTTAAATAAATTTTGTGTTCAGTAACAAATAAAAACGATAAAAAATTAAACAGCGCTGTATTTCTTAAATTAAATTAAAGTTACAGATCATAAAAATATAATAGGGGTTAATAGAGAAAATGCGGACTGTGAACGCACACAAAATTTTTACAACAGATGTATTAGAAACAACCGAACTGTGGACTTAAGATTTGAGAGTGGCGAGTGCGTTCCGCGATAAAATTCATAAAGTCGATAACACATAGTTTTCTCTTGCTATAATAACGATTACCAACCGAAATTTTCAACGATGACAAGCATTGTTATATTGTAAGTCTATCATCGATGTTCAATACAGGCGCAAAATTCAAAAAATAATTTTAGGTTAGGTTAAAGTTATTAGATTTTAACCGGAGCTCGAAAATGTTGAGTATTAGTTTTAATGCTATACTAAGAATTAGGCATACGGATAAAATATTTTTAAGGGGAGCCAACGATTTAAATAAAAATTATCAATAACAATTAATGCAAAATATAAAACACAAAAATTGAATAACATTTGAATTCCGAAAAACATGAAATTCAAAAAAATTTATATTGTTTAAAGATCGAAAAATGGAAAACAAAAATCCATAACGTTTTAACAATTTAAAATATATACGAGATAATATTGTTTAAGTTTGAACTTCATAAAGTAAAAACAAAATTATTTTAATTCAAGCTGTGGTTTTCACAAGATAATTTTGAGTTCTTTCAGTGAAGTCAGTAACAAAACTAGTTAGTCTTGTAGCTCTTGAATTCTGATGGTTGACTTCTTTTTCGCTAGTTTATGATGAATCATAAAGTTTCTCACTATTAGTTTTAATATTTAAAATTATACCCGAGTAGCATTATTTCGGTTCAAGTTACCTCGGAGTCGGGAAAGTTCAGTGTTCAATAAGTAATCCAGTATTTTTTCATAAGTACTAGGACAGTTCAAAGTTCAAAATAGAACCGTACAGTACTATTAATGTTCAATAGTGCACTCGGTAACCGGGCTCTCAGTTTATGTACTGTTCATTCGATCAATTTGTACCTACTACTTGATTTTATTTTAAGTACGATAGAATCATTATAATGGTTATAACAGTTTTGATATACAGTTATAATTTTAAGTAATAATTTAACCTTTAATTATTAAATTAATAAAATAATAACATTTTAAATATAACAATGGTCTATGATAACTATTGAGACTAGCGAGAATTAATTTGGTGAGCTTATGGCGTAATAGCTAGACGTGCCGCTAACCATTGAACAACAATTCTAATAATTATGATTTAATTTAGTTGTGCTTTGTGTGCCATTCCTGCAAATTATTGACAAATATTACCATTTTTATAAATGCTCCTTTTGAGGCATTGCCATTTTCTTAGCAACAAGAAAACTGACAAGATTTTTGCCTCTCTTGTTTCTTTTCTGTTAATAATTTGTTTCATGTTTAACTCAGAAGTAAGTAATTTAATTATTTTTTAAAGTATAGTAGTATATTGAATTTGTAAGTAATTTTAGAATTAGCTTATATAAAAATAAAATAAATTTTAGTGAAATGTGCTGTTTGGTAAAATTATTTAAAGGACCTTAAAGAGAATATTGTTCAACACAACATACTTAACATTCTTTAATTTAATACATTACTTTTATAATATTAACTAATAATATTACTAAACAATATTTACATTAAAGAAATGCTTTATTGTATTTGAAGGTTTGATGAAACAATAATTAGGTGGACTTAAAAATAAATGTAACACAATGCGAGGCATCAATAATACATGTGTTGTATATTCAGATAATATCTTTAGAAACTTAGGATTATGAACTTTCCCGACTCCGAGGTAACTTGAACCGAAATAATGCTACTCGGGTATAATTTTAAATATTAAAACTAATAGTGAGAAACTTTATGATTCATCATAAACTAGCGAAAAAGAAGTCAACCATCAGAATTCAAGAGCTACAAGACTAACTAGTTTTGTTACTGACTTCACTGAAAGAACTCAAAATTATCTTGTGAAAACCACAGCTTGAATTAAAATAATTTTGTTTTTACTTTATGAAGTTCAAACTTAAACAATATTATCTCGTATATATTTTAAATTGTTAAAACGTTATGGATTTTTGTTTTCCATTTTGCGATCTTTAAACAATATAAATTTTTTGTATTTCATGTTTTTCGGAATTCAAATGTTATTCAATGTTTATGTTTTAACGGCAGAAATAAACTATTTAGCCTCCTAGCCTCCCACAATATTAATCCCTCTTCCATAGCTAATACTCTTAATTCCCGTTATTCCATTATAATTATTTCCATCATATCTTTTTTGAGGAGTTCCGGCTTTGTCATTTAATTTCTAATTATTTTGCAATTTTTTAATTTAATAATTTTTCTGTGATATTAAAGGCTCTGTTACACAATAATTTTAAATAATGTTTAATTTTTTCTAATTTTGAGTTTACTAACAATTATTGCTGCATTTGTTGTACCGTTATTACATAGTATTATGACTGTTATACTTTTGTTTATAATTGTTGAGCTAATTATTATTTTAATAAAGGTTATTAAAAAAAAAGTTTAACTAGTTTATTTAATAGATAATGATCTAGCTAAGAAAATGACTAACCAATAATAACTTTTGAACCAGTATTTATTCTAAACTTCCACTTGACACGATCTTCCACGTCATCTACGCACAGGTCAATCGTCCTCATATCGCACTCAATAACATTTTTTCTTTTCTGTTCTTTTTCATTTTTGTTCATTCTCTACCTTTTCTTCTCTCAACATTTATTTCTATAACTATTCTCATAGCTTCTGATTCCTCTCTCTTCATAAAATAACCACACCATCTAAGTCTATTTTCTCTTATATTATCCACGATTGAGACTACATCTGTACTCCATCTTATATAATCGTACATTATCCTATCTTCTCTAGTCACTCTACTCATCTATCTAAGCGTTCTCATTTCGGCTACGCTCATTTTCTGCTCTATTCTTTTATTACCACCTAACACTCCTAACCATACATAATAGCTGGTCTTATAAAGTCGTATAGAAATTATCTTTCAGCCTCATTTGAATTCTCTTATCGCATAATACACCGGATGCTTCACTTCACTTCACTTAATTTTGTGTCTTGCATCCTCGTGAATACCGCCGTTCTTTTGCATAACTGATCCGAAATCCTTAAATCTTTCCAGTTCTCCTATCCTATGTCCTCACTTATTATCTCCTCATTTCATCTACCTCGTGTTATCCTTTGCCGAACTCGTACTCTATATATTTTGTCTTACTTATTAATCCCTTTTCTTTAAGAGCTGATCTCCACAACTTTAACCTTTGATTCATTTTCTCCTATTAATACTATAATCGTCAATGAACAATATGCACCACAGCATATCTCCTTGTGTTTCTTTAGTAATTTTATCCATCACTATAGAAAATAAGTAACGGTTTAAAGCAGAATCTTGGTGCACTCCTACTCTTACCCTAAAATCTTTTATTACTCCGCGCACACTTTTTACCCGGGTACAAATGCCATCATACATATCCTCTATTATAATAACAGAGTTAAGGTTTCTTTGTTGTAAATAAATATAACAACACAATGGTTAGATATTAATCATAATATATTTTTAATTATTATAAGTTACACTAAGGCCGCAAAAGTATCCATCCGGTTTCCACGGGAAATGTTTTGTGGTCGCCTTTTGCTGAACCGGTTCGCGTCACCCGAGGCAATTTTGCGTTGTGCGACCTGTCGGACTAGGAGAGGTAGCTGTATTGCGGTCGTAATCCAGTGTTAAATCCGGAAATGCCATGCGACCACGTCATATACCTTTTAAGTATATAAAGGTAATTTACCTTTTTGGGACTTTTTTTTGTCTCATTAATACTCACTTTAAAACCTCTCTCGATACTCTATCATACACTTTCTCCAAATATATAAATATCATAAATAGCTTTTTCTCCTCTTCTATTAGTTATCTTACACAAAACACTGTCTCCATCGTTAAATTTCCAGGCAAAAATCAAATTAGTTCTTTTTTACTGATTCTCCTCTTATTATTTTGTCTATTATCTTTTCCCATATTTTCATACTATGCCTCTATTATTTCCACACACCTGTATATTTTTTTTGCCCTTAAATATCGACACTACTATACTATTTCTCTATTCTTTTGACATTTTCATTTCTAATAGAATTTTATTAAAATTATCATTCAACCACCTAATGCTAATATTTTCCATACTTATACTGCCACTTCTTCTGGTCTTGCTACTTTATTCTTTTTCATTGGTGTCACAGTTTCATATACCTCTTTCTCGCAAATTAAATCTACCAGTTTTTCGTTTTAATGTCCCTTTTGGACACACCTCATTCAGTAATTTTTCAAAATACTTTTTCCACTTTTTTTTAACATCATCATCGTTTGTTAGCACTATCATACTTTTTATATACCATATATTTTGATAATATTTAGACTATTTTAACTGATACCCATTAAGATAATTATTTGATGAACTGATATAATATATCATTTTTTCTGATTCGATTTTGTTATTACACAACCTAGCCTTAAAAAAAAATTGAATTTTATTTTCAGGTTTCTTGAAAATAATTTGTAATCAGCTTAATAATTCAATTAAGTAGATTTATCTAATATAATTTATAAGAATATTTAAACATATACATTAAAAATAATTTTTATTTGTACAAACTCACTTTTAATAATATTTAATTTGTAACTATTTATAAACAACAAGCAGTTTACATACTAATAATTTGTTCCACTCAAATACATATTTAGTTGGTAATTATTTAAATTAATCTTTAATAATAATTATTATAATAATTATAAGAAATGATATTAAAAAACTAAAAATTAAACTGTAGTATAAAATATCAAATTCATATTTTACTAAAATTAGCAATAAGTATAAACTTAAATGTATTAAGTTGCAAATAAAATAAAATAAGAAAGAAATAGAAATTTTTAAGACTCTGATAATATTTCTTCAATAGTACGATCGTTTTCATCGTGTAAAGGAAAACTTGTTAATGTTGGGTCACTTTCAAGAAATTCTCTTAATTCTGACTCTAAATCAACACCAGATACAACACCTTCTACTCCATCAATACGTTCATGGTTTCCATCATTAAGTAAGGTCACCTAAATTTTTTAACAATAAACCTTAATACTTAGTATCAAAATATACACAAAATATAATAATTACAATACATATTATACTGCTATAAGGAACACCTGAATATATATTTTCTAAAAAAAAAAAAAATGAAGAGAATAAAAAATCACTTTACAAAAATTATTAGATTAAATTTTTGTATAAATGTTTAACTTTAAAGTCAGATTAAAATAATGTATACATCAAGAAAACTGCTCCATAAAATTGGATTTTAATCTACAAAATTTAATATTTGTTCAAAAATTTCTAATAACAACAAAATGATTCTTAAGTATACTATCTAGATCTACTAACAGGAAAACTTAATTTTCAAATATACCTGAGTTGGTTGATTAGATCCTATAATGTTTGTTGTATGACAATGGCTTTGTCCAATATCCAATTGAGATATTTGAGCTACTCCCATTGCTTTTCGCACACCAGTTACTGACATAACAGCTGATGGAGGAACACGTTTCAAGCTTTCTGTGAGTGACTCAGTTATTTTATCAGCTTAAAAAAAATTAAATATTATTAATATGCAATGAAAAAAATAATTTTTTTTATATAGTTTAACACAGAAATAAATTATATTTAAACAAAATAATTTATAATAATAATAAAACTTTGTTAAGTTTATTAGATAAGGAGATTCCAGGAAAATGGAATGATTAATAGGTACATTAATGTAATTAACAGTTATTATTTTTATATTGTTATTACCTAGTTGAATTTCTTGTTGGGATGGTTGGGTGACTTGAGAAAGATGCTGAGGTAAAGGAGCACTTAAACGCTGATTTTGTATATTTTGCAAACGACCTAATAAACCACCAACTTGATCTAATCTATCTTGAAAAACACTTTGTTCCTCTGAAATAATAATACATATTTTTTTTAGTTGTAAGTTTTAAATAAAATAAATTAATAATACTAACGATAATAATCAATAAACTTAGTATCAATTCCCAATTCTGATAATGATTTCAACTGATCAATTTGTATTGGCTCAGATTTTGTTTGATTATTTAAATTAGGTAATCCTGGATTTACTTGTGAATTAGTTGATGATTGACAAGATGTAGGAGATTGATGAATATTGTTAGGCTTATTACTATCTTCATTATTAATGTTTAGTTTCTTTCGTTCTTCTAGAATACGTTTTGTTTTACGGTGTTCACCACCAGTCATTAAATCTAGTAAATTATCAGCCATTGTCATGGCATAGTCTGAATCTTTTGTAAAGTTTAATATACTAGAAAATAATTTAGTAATTAAATATACAGTTCAATTCATTAAAAATGAAATTTAGTTTTAGTGTTTAAAATAATATGTTATGAAAAAAATATATAAATTAATTTAATTGGCTATTTTATATGCACAAATCATTGTACTGATATTCTAAGACATTTTCAGATTGTGAGAAATTCAATTTAATTTTACAGTGTTCGTGAACAGTTGAAATGTTTAAATTTTAATCTCAATTCTAAAAGATGGGAGGTTAATTCAGAGTTTTCTTTAAGCTAACCCTCTTGTCTATAAACAATCTATAGAACAAACAATCTAAGTCTCCAAAAATTTTATTCACATAATGCTTTAACTTGAAAATATTTTAAGATTATAATGAATAATTTTTTAAATTTATGAGGTTGCTACCAAAACAAAACTGAAAAAAAAACATTCAGTTAGTGTAAGTCACTCTTAATTAGCATTGGAATAGCCTAATTTATATATATATATATTAATAAAATATGTTTTTTTTTTTTTTTATCAAAAAGATACATTAGTCTTGTTGCTTAATATATTACATTTTTTTTTAATAAAGATAAAATTAATTTATATAAAACTATTTCGGCTTAATACCTTTCAGCATACTGTGCAGAAGACTCATCTCCATATGTTCTAAGTACCAAATCTGACTCTTCTTTTGTTATGTTAGCAAATGTAGAATCATATGTTGGGGCATATGATCCAAATGCACCATAGTACAAAGGCTTAACTAAAGTAAAATTTATTTAATCTTAAAACTAAATTAATCAAATATTTATTTTATTTGTATAAATTAACTTAAAATACCTGTTTTAACCATGTTACGTCTATCTTCACGAAAACCAGTGAGAGATCCAACACCATGACTCAATTTACCAATCAGTGAACCTAAAAGAACTGGACGTTCTCCAGTTTCTGGATTAATTCCATCATTAGGGACTAATATTGATAATGAAGTAGATCCATTATTTTGTTTTAAAAATCCCATCTAAAACAAAAATTATCATTTTTTAAATATTCATAAAACATTTTCATTTAATAATAAAATATTATTATTTTAAAGTTATTTTATTTTAGCTGCAATAAAAATATTTCTATTACTTTAGTTTTTTTTGCAGCTACTTTAGCAGAAGCTATTTTAGCAGCGTTTTGGGCCTGTTTCAGAATTTCTTCAGGTGTCATTTTATCAGGTATTGCTTCAAATTTCGATCTAAAATTTTAATATTTATTTAACAATAGAAATAAACCATCACACAGAATAAAACACTTACATAGTCTTTAATTGATTTGATGGTTGTTCATCATGTTCTAAAAATTTTTCATTTGATTTCTCATTGTTATCAATAATTGTATCATTTGATGTTTCACCTTGATAATCTTGGTTAATATCAAAACCTAGTTGAGAAAATGGTATATTTGCCATTCCCGGTAATGCAGTTAATAAAGTTTTTAATTTTTCAGGGCCTGTGAGTTTTAAACCAGCGTGAAGAAGACGTTTAGCTTGTTTATAGTAAATAGTTTCAGGATGATTATAAGTCATTGCATTTTCACACATAAGTTTTATATCAGCCTATAAAATTATAAATTATGGCTTAATAATACATTTTTAATTAATGGTATAATTGATTTAATATAATATTGTCTGTTAATGTTGAAATTATAAGAATATAAACAATTGAGGGTTAGTAAAATAAAACCGTGTATATGGAATTCAATTTTTTATCAGTAAATAAAGATACAAAGAGTGATTTAAGGTAAACAAATAGCAGCATAGTTTTAATTATAGCTTTAAAATACATTTGAATATAGAAAAGTTTTCTAATTATTTTATAAATTTTGAACATTAAAAATTTAAGTAATATTTTGTAAAAGTTAAATATACTATTTTATCAAAAATATTCCATACAATATAATTATTGTAATGAATAATATCTATTAAGTACTACATTTTCAATATAGTAGTAAGTATCTTAAGATAAGCAGTTACTTCCTTTGCTTCTCTCATAATTATTTTAATTATTAAATGAAAATAAGTGAAGCTAGAAAAATTCAAAATAGTATATAAAATTTGAACTACAGAATGCTGGAAGAAGGGAAATTATAATGTTGATGTAATATGCAGTAAATAATTTTACAAGTGTTATTTTTAAGATTTACTTAAAAAAAATAATTACATAGCAAGAAAAGTAGTTGTATAGTAGGATTGATAAAAAAATAGTTTGAATTGAAATATATGAACTCCTATTATTAAAGTTATTATAATGATAGTTCAACACAAGGTGGTTTATTAAGGTTAAAAAATTTATTTTTCGAGAACTATTGAAAATTTAAAATTTTTGTAAATTGTTTGATTCAAAAAACTTGACAATAAATTAGGTTAAATTTTAGCTTCGATGTGAAGCTGAGAAGGTATTGGTTTTACTATGATGTGTTTTTTTATTGTCTGTTACCAGTTTTTCTCTGCTCTCATTGGACCGATTTCTTTCAACGATACGTCAAAAGATTACAAATTGTATCTAATCAAAGACATTACCCTCAAAAATTGAAAAAATTTCCCTCTTTCCACGTAAATGGAGGAAACCTCCAAAAAAATTACAAATTTAAAATCGCTAATTTTCGACATTTATTCAATTTTTTTTTACTTAAAAATGCCATAAATGGTATATTTTTTTTATAAATCTAACCCTTTACTTGCTCACAGTGGTGAAAAAAAAGTGGTAAAAATGACAACTTTTTCACAAAAAATTAACTTTTTCAACTTAACTTTTGAAAGTGTTTGGAAATACTGACATTTATATATATATATATATATATATATATATCTTAAATTAAAGCTAATGTAATATCATGGAAGAAAAAAATTTGGACTTTATTTTGTCTTCACAGTGAAAATAGTTACCAAATGCTATTTTTGTGTGAAAATTCTGGATTTTATTTTTTACATTTTTAACTTTATAATGCTTTAACTTATTGAAAAGTATATGGATCAATACAAATTTTTTATGAGAAATAATATTTCTATCCCTCTTTCATTCAACATACTTTATTTTAATCAGGATATAAATAAGGAAATAGCAAATCACATTGCTTTTGTAATAATCCACCAATTTTTTAAAATTAAACACTGTAAAAATTTGCATCAAAGTGTTTTTTATGATAGTGATTTTAATCATTTTCAGATATCATTATATTTGATCCAACTATGCCACGTCACCACTGTGCCGCGACCCCCTGTGCTGGATTATTTTTTTTATTTATTTATTTAGGGAAAAAAAATTTTAATATTAATTTTGTTATTGATAACTCCTACTTTTATCTTGATAATATAATGGAAAAATATTTACAAACAATTTTGTTCTTATAATTTCTTTTAATCCGATCACTACCATTTGTTTTTTTAAAAACTTTCAACTGATAATCCTGGTAAATATGTGAATTGGAAATTCAACATTTATTTAAAGAACAAAATTGTATTCAAATTATTTTCTATCGTATTATCAAGATAAAAATAAGGGTTCTCATTAAGAAAATTAATATTAAAGATTTTTCACTAAAGGGATGATAAAAAAAAAAAATTAATGAACTACATATTATTGTAGAGCTTTTTGAATCAAACAATTATTTCTTTACAAAAATTTTGAATTTTCAATCGTTCCCAAGAATATGAGTATCTTATCCTTAATGAATTAATCTGTATAGTCCCTTATTTACATATGTAATAATTTAAAAATCTTATTTTTCTTGCTACAATAATTAATATTACAAGTAATGTATTTATTATAATAACAAATTATATTACTTACAAAAAATGCATTTAGACTACTATAATGATTAGTTTGAATATTTCTTCGAATAGTCTCGAAATCCATTGGCTTTGAAATCATACGAGAATAATTGGGTGCAATACGATCAGTAACAGGCCACGCAAATAATTGTTGAGGATCTCGCCGCTCCAAAGCTCTCAGTAAATGAGTTAAAAGTTGTTGCAAGGTCTGTCTATTTTCACTATGATTGTTACCTTCATCAGAGCCCCAATCATTTGAACCTGCAAAAAATATATATTTTTTAATTATTTATAGTATTTCTCAATTGATTAAAAACTAAAATTATATTTAAAATATTAATTTTTAACTAAAAAATACTTAAGAGTCTCAAAAATTACTAAAAGAACGTGGAAATGTTTTTTGGTAACAACGTATTTGCAATATTTTTTGTAGTTAATATTGGCTTTTTGAATTAAATATTTTTCAGTTTTAAATTAAACTTTAATTTTAAATAATATTTGCCACAAATGATTAATTCTTATTATATAAGAATTATCAGTTGAACTTTAGTACAATTATAATAATTACATGGTTCATTACATCAAGTTAAATTCATATATTATAATTAAAAACATTGGCTAACATATTCAAAAGAAGAGTTTTTTTATAAAATATTCACTGGTCAAGTAGTTTCTGTAGTCCCCAATTTAAGAGAATTTTTTGTTATACAAATTAATTGTTAAATATATTATGATAGAATTTTTTAAATCATTCTCTATTTGAAATTAATCCAAAATTTTCCCAATATAATATGCTGTACATACATCATGAAATCAAAATTTTCTAAAAAATTTGTAGTTTAAATAAATTAACAATTAATTTATATCTGAACTTAATGTAAAACTATATGGTGTAATATATTACAAAACATACTAATGATAAATTTTCGTAGTTTATAAGTTATATATTAATATTGCTTACAAAATACTCATACAAGTTGAGGGATTAATCGATTTTATTACCAAAATGGTTTTTTTCTATCATAATAAACTGCTAAGTTTATCACCAAATAGCAGTTGGAAAAACCAATAAAATTATTAATTTTAAAAACATAGGTACAATTTTATATTATTTTTCAATTTACTAATTAAATATTCAGAAAAATAAACCTTACCACAAGATTCCATTAAAATTAATGTCACTAATATAGTCATTTTTTCACTTCATGAAAAATTAAAACAATTTTTATAAAAAATTTAGTGACTCCTTGGTTTAATGATGAAATATTACAGTGAAATTTATTTCTGTTTTGGAAAAACCTTAAGGTGAAAATTATGAAAAACTATAACTGTGGATTTAAGAAAAATCGAAAAAATTTTTTAATTAGATTAAATATCACATTAGACATAGTATTAAATTACGTTCAGAGACACCCTACATATATAATAATTTTTAGAACTATCATAATTAACATAAGAGGTAAAAAATGAGGTTTGCATTAATACACATTCTATTTTCGTAGTAGCAACCAATTATTTCTTTAGTTGTTACAATTCTGTTTTAAAGGCTAGTCACATTAAAGGTATATTTATTTTTAAGAAATTCCAAGATTTAATCATCATAATTAACAAAATCCAAGATCAAATACAAACCCATTAGAGACTCATCAAATTTGTTTGATGTTCGGTTTACATTTTCAATTTCACCACGTTTTGTTATTGGTGCTTCAGCAAGAGTATCTTCACTAAGACTAATATCTTCATTAATTGTTATACCATTACGTATTCTTTTTTTCTTTTCTTTATGATGCTTATGCTTTTTTTTTTTTTTCTTATGTGATTTTGATAAGTAATCATCAATTTCATGAATACCATTATTACCCATTTCTTCTGCAGGTAAACAACTCCCACTGCCAACTTTTAAAATTAGTTTTAAACTGCCCGATTTTTCTTTATCTATAAACAAACATTAAGTACTGAAATTATTAAATAATCAATTACAAAATTTATCATGATCTGGAAACCATGATGTCAATATTACGTTAGAATTACTATCATCTTATTTAATTACTATAAGTAGTTGTGTATGCAAGAACTTTTCACAGTTGCTTAGAACAAGTAAAATATTACAAAAAAATATGTAAGTGCAGAGTAATTGTTTAAAAATATAAAATGTAATAGAATTTTTTTTTCAATTTATTAGTATTGTTTACATTTTAATTATCATAAAGAAATAAAGCTCTATCCACATATCTTCTCCCTTAAATTATATAATGTTTAGTTTTTTAAATGAATACATACGTGTTCAACTGGCTAACATATAATAAAATGATCTAATTAAGAAATTGACTGGTTAAAAAAATTTGGTGATTTATAAACCTCAATACTTTTCTAACTCTAGTATAAAGGTATTAATTTTTTTAGTAAATTATATTTTCTAATTAATTTTTAAAAGTGAATTATGGGGTTGTTACACTTTTCTATAATAAACCAACTATAAAACTCTTTTAGAGAAAAGATAACATTTTAAATTATATCAAAACATACATTTATTCATAACAGATCATAGAAGAACCTATATTTATTAAAATTTATATCTGTGTAATCTACATACCAAATAAATATAAAATTTCATTATTTTACCTTCATATTTATCCCGTTTATGTTTCTTTCTCTTCTTGTTTTCAAAATCTATATTTTCATCTAGTGACGCCAGTTTGAATAAGTTAAAATTTGTATTATACAAAGAGATGTAATAATTAATTTCAAAAAATAAAATTGTTTGTAAAAATAATAACTAAATAATATAATTATAAAAAATTGAATATTTTTTTATTTAACACACCAATATTAAGTGACAGTATACTATAGTTAAATTATATTGTTCAAATGTAGTTTAAGCAAATATGTTGTAATTATTCTATTAATTAAGCTGTTATAATCACTAAAAGAGATCGTCGTAAGTTACATAAACAACTTTTAGGTTGTTTATGAAGTACAAACTAATTTTTGCGGCATAAAAACTAATAAACATGATAGCACTATTTCTTCGTGTATCATTTAAGTAAGCGATCATGAGATTCTATGAATATCATCACTGTATAATAGCACCAAGCGGTTAGAGTATTTTCATATAATTCATGTGACCATGGATACCAAAGCAAACATTATTACCACAGCTCATAGGTGATAAAGAATTGTTAAATTCCTTATCATGATGTTTAACATTATATTAGATGATAATGGCAGTTAAACAATTTTTTGTAATTTCTTAATATTTAATATTGTAAAGACTTGTTTTTTTATTATTGAATTTGTACATATTTTCATCATAGAAATTAATAAAATTCTGAGTACTTCAGTTTTTTATCGTTGTTTTTCTTACTAAACAAAGAAACAAAAATGTCAAAGCTTTCAGTAAGACATTTACTTACTTGTCTATTTTTCATGTTATACTATTAACTTATTTTCATATTTAATTTAAAAAAATATATTTTTCACGTATTATTCCTACTTTATAGAAAGAAGAAATTGCTAAGCAGTTTATGCTTCCTGAACGTAAGTCCAAAATTGCTACATTGCTTAAGCAGGATGGACAAGCTTATTGTATATGTAGATCTTCGGATAGTTCTAGATTTATGATGTAAGTAGTTCATAAAAAATTATGTGTATGTTATACTCTTGTGATATTGTATTAATAAGTTAAAAAAAAAATGTTCTTCACCTATTATTACTCTGATGTTTATTAGAGTAAATTCATGGTATTTGAAAAACTTTTATTAAGTTAATGATTTTTTTGTAAATTTTTCAAATCATTTTTCAATGTAAAAAAAAAATAGGCTGATAATAGTAAGGATAAAATTTAAATCTCTCAAGAAATAATTATACACTAAAACTTAAGTTTAGATATATAATTTATTTGTATAAAATAACTCATTTGATTTTAACTTTTATTAGTGGTTGTGATGCTTGTGAAGATTGGTATCATGGTGATTGTATTGGAATAACAAGAAAACAATCTAAACTTATTAAACAGTATTTTTGTGATGTATAATACTTTTTTTATTAATTAATTAATTTATCTAGATAATGTATTTGAATAATTTTCTTTTATTGTGTTAAAGAAATGCAAATCTGAAGATTCTTCTTTAAAAACAATTTTTAAAACTTCGATCAGTCGTAGTGAATATAAAGAAAAAATAGATCAATATGATATCAACAAACGTGGTAAACTTTAAACTTTTAGCTTTTTGTCATGGTTGCTACCAATCTGAAAAAATATATTAAACTAGTTGGGGAAATGATAAAAATATCGGGTATTTTAATGATTATTAAAATTTTATTATACTTTTCAAATAATTACATTTGATATGAAGCTAAGAAAGTATTAATTTTACTATGATGTGTTTTTATTTTTATTTTTTGTTTTTGTGTTTGTTACCACTTTTTCTCAGCTCTCACCAAACAAATTTTTTTTAACAATATTTCAAAAGATCACAAATTGTATCTAGTCAAAGACATTAACTTCAAAAATTGAAAAAAAATTCTCTCGTTCCCCAGAAATGGAGAAATTCTCCAAAAAAGTTACAATTTTAAAAGTCTGTTATTTTGAACATTTTTTTTCTAAAACTTCCATAACATTTTGAAAAATGAATGAATAAAAATGCAATTTTTTTTTTAGACACCTAAAACATTTACCTTCTATTTGGTATACTCTTTGTGAAAATGTGATCCTTTACGTACCCACAGTGGGGTTTTAAATGGCAACTTTTTCTACTCAAGTTTTTGACAATGTTCCAGAAATATTGACACTTTTATATATACCTTAAATTAAAGTTTATGCATTATACTATATTTTGAAAAAAAAAATTGACGTTTGGACTTGTCTTCATGGTTAAAATAGCTACTGTAAAAATAAGAAATTTTTGTGAAAAAATTATCGATTTATATATTTTAATTTATAATGCTATAACTTTTTGAAAAATGTATCGATTAATAGATTTTTTTTTTATAAATACTTTTTATATACTGATTCCATCTGACATACTTTTTTTTTGGATCAGACCATGTCAGATTATACAAGGGGGGTTCAAAACAAAATAATTACAAATTTTTTTAAAAATAACAAAATCAATATAATTTTTTTTTTTTTATAGATACATGAGATATTAACTTATCAATTTGAATATTTTTTTATAAATCTAACCCTATACTTGCCCATAGGAGAGATTCAAAATTACAACTTTTTCACAAAAAATTAACTTTTTTAACTTAGCTTTTAAAAGTTCTGGAATTACTAACACTTTAATATATACAGGATAATTTTTTTATCATAACCCACTCAATTACTTACAAAATAATAATAAATTAAACATTTTATTTATTTTTTATCTTTAGTTACACATCATTCTTGAATTATTAACTATGTAATACTTTTTAAGTTCATCCCTTATGCCTGGTAAGGTTGTCAACTTTGTTTTTTTAATGGGAACACATATTTTGAATTTAACAAAATGTTTGAGATTTTAATTTAATAGTAAATGGCTTCTGAATTTTTAATATAACTTTCAAGTTTCAAATTTTTGAGTTAATATTCATATATAATACACAAGAGATTACAAATATAGGTAGCTAATTGGTTTTTTATGACATTGATATTAGCAGGTACACAGCATTGTTATTATCAATGGTGGTTAGGTACATTGTTGTGAGTTTATAAATACACTAACTGACAATACAAAAAGTATATCTATTGATAGTCATAATAGATAATAAACAATCCGTGACTGTGACAGCAATGTCATAAAAAACCAATTAGCTACCTCTATTTGTAATCCTTTGTGTATTATACGATACATCAAATGATTACAACTAATATCTAGTTAAATATATTACCCTCAAAAATTGAAAAAATTCCTCCTTATCAAGTTAAAAGCTGCTTAACCAACTTTCTTCATACAGATGATTAAAATCATTAATTTCTATTGTTTTAATGTATATATTGTCAAATTAGATTTGATATAACAAGTGTTAACTATTAAGTTGAATAATCTCTCTTTATTATTTATTAATTTTTTGATAACATTACTGTATAAATCATTTTTAAAAAATTATTTTGGGTTTTACATAAAATTAACAATGGATTTTCAAAATTATAATCAAGTTTTATAATACACAATATTTAGTAGACCTTTTTAACAACTTTTGATTGTTTTTTTTTTATGTTTGTTCATAAAAATTCTCAACTCTCACTGGACCAATTTTGATGATCAATAAGAATTGATTTTAATCTAGTTGAATTAATAGTGTATTAATGGAAAGATATCTGAATTTTAGAAATTTAAACAAATATCTACTGTAAAAAAACATTAAAAAAAAAAAAATTTTTAATTAATATCTCCACAAATAATAATAGTATAAAATTTATTTTTATACAAAATTATATAGTAAAATCACATTATCAAAATGAAACATTTTTTAATCAGTATAAGCCAAAATATGCTTTGCTAAACTATGTTTTTGTACTAATTTCAAATCTGTAATTCCAACTATGCCACATCCACACTGTGATGGGTTTTTGAGATATTACTAATTTATAAAAATGAGTAATTACATTTAAATATTGATTTTGATTTTAAATATGTTAAAAATAATCCAAGCAAAATTTTGATTCAATAATGTCATGTTTAACCTATTTTTTTGGTATTATAAAGTTGATATTTATAAAAGTTTATAGTTTAAAAATGTTGAACATAAAACCATTTTTTAGTTCAACTTGCTCATTTCAAATAAATATCATTAAATAGAAAATTTAATGAAGATTTAAAAAATATTTTTGTTTAGATTGATATATGGTCAGAAACTTTTATAGTTACTTTTAACATTAAATTTATGAAACTAGCTCAAAATTATGTTAAAATCATTTATTATATTTTTAGAATTTATATCGTAATAAATTACTTTAATAGAAATTTTAATCATATATATTTACTTCTTGGTGTTTAAATGAATTTTATAATTAAAATATTTAGAACTATTATTAAAGTTATATACTATTTTTTTCTATAATATACTGATATTCAGTAATATTCCGTGTCTAGTTTTATCTATGATTTTGTGTGTTGTTGCGTTGTTGAATTTCATTTGAACCTATATTTTTTTGTTATTTTTTCATAGGTTAGTACTCGTTTTTAACTAATTAATAATAATATCAAAAATTAGTGCTGATAGAAAAAATCTAAATGCAAAATTGAAATTAGCTTAAGAAATTGATCAATATACATATATTTTTACTTTTATGAAAATTCTTTGTAGACCATTTATTCATAATTAACAACAAATTATTTTTGAAAAGTTTGGTTTTAAGCAATTTTTATACTAGTTTGCCATAAAAGTAGCAATTATCTTATAATTTTTTATAATTTCTCCTTAAAAATTACAATACTAAATGATTAAATATCAATTTTATGTTATATTTATAAATCAATGAACTACCAATCAAGAATAATGAAGGAAATAGGAGTTAATTTTTCTTTTAGAATAATCCACCGTTCCTTTAAATTAAACATTATCATATGTGTTTTTTAGAATAGTGATTTTAATCACTGTCAGATATCATCTACACTTGTCCTAGCTGTGGCGTGAATTCACGTGTTACAATTTTTTTTTTTTAATTCCTTGTTATAAGTTATTTTTATTGAGACAGAGGATAGATAAAAAAGTATTTTTGCAATTAAAATCTGCACCTACTTTAAAAATTCCAATTAATAAACAAATAAACATAGTGGGAGAGTTCATTTAAAATTTGTTTAAAAAAATAATGGAATAAACAGAAAATTAAAATTTTTTAAACTTGTGGCAACTCCAATTGTCTAAGAATGCAACAATAAAATTAAAAATAAAAATTAGTATGAAACACATTAATTAAATAAAAATGTAAAATAGTTATCAGTTAGATCTGAAACACTGTATATTTACAAAAATTAAGATGATTCCCTTGCATTTAAAGTTTTTAATTTAAAAAAATTAAGATTAAATATCAACATATTTATTTGTAGAAAATCGAGGTAAACATCGACATAAGCACAAATTATGTGGACGCTGTGATAATTGTAAGCGAAATGAAAATTGTGGTTTATGTATTGGTTGTAATGAAATGCGAAGATTTGGTGGATCAGGTTTATGTGAAAATAGAAAATGTTTAAATATAAACAAAAAGGTATTAAATCAATTGACTCTTTTTGATTAAATTAGTTCATTATGTTTTGTATTTCCTTTTTATTAATATTCTATTAGATAATTCACTATAGAGAAATAAATTATTGAATCAAATTATATATATATATGCAGAGTCAAGTTTATGCATTATACTATATTTTGAAAAAAAAAATTGACGTTTGGACTTGTCTTCATGGTTAAAATAGCTACTGTAAAAATAAGACATTTTTGTGAAAAAATTATCGATTTATATATTTTAATTTATAATGCTATAACTTTTTGAAAAATGTATCGATTAATAGATTTTTTTTTTATAAATACTTTTTATATACTGATTCCATCTGACATACTTTTTTTTTGGATCAGACCATGTCAGATTATACAAGGGGGGTTCAAAACAAAATAATTACAAATTTTTTTAAAAATAACAAAATCAATATAATTTTTTTTTTATATATATATGCAGAGTCAAGCACTTAATTAATTGAAAAATAAAAGTATTATTAATAACTTTTTTATATGTTTCTTTAAATGTTTTAATTATAAAGTTTTTAAATAGTGTTTTAAATTTCAAAACATCAAAAATAATGTTTTAATAAACTAAAAATTTCATACAAGGTTAACTATGGAGATATGTAGTAAACAAGATAAAATTAAGTTTTCAACCTTTGATAACAATTTTACAAAAATATAATAAAAATGCCATTCTTTTATAGGATTTTAGTATGTTTTACTATTTTTAGAAAAAAAACCAAGTAAGCCACCTAATAATAAGAATAAAAATAGACAATTAATTTAAACAAGAAAACAACTAGGCTATTAGATTCTTGAAATATAAAATTGTTTCAAAATACTGTTACATTGTTTTTTCTGTCTACCCTTCATATATAAACATTTTATTTTTAGATACTTATTGACAACAATACTTTTTTATTTACGTGCGTTTAATAAATAATATAGTGTTTATTATTTCATAAGTGTTACATTCTTATACTGTTTAAAATTATACTTTTGATTTAATATTAGTATATCTATAAATTACTTGATTGTTAATTTTTATAAAAAAAAGGAAAACAAAATAACATCCAAAACAATCAAAAGAAAACGTAAAGATTCCAGTTCTGATGGAGAACACCATGTTAGTTTATCTACGTCAAATCGACAATGTTATGGCCCTGGATGTACTCAAGTTTCAAGATATAATTCTAAATATTGTTCAGATAAATGTGGAATAAATTTAGCGAGTGCACGAATATTTCATGTATGTAATTAAATGCTTTTCTGTAGACAAACGTTTTATACACATTATTAATTTATTTATTTGATATTAAAGTAACTAGCAAAATTGTAGCAATGTATATTATTTTAGGTATTACCTCCAAGACTTCAAGAATGGAGTTTATCACCATGCATTGCTGAAGAATCAAATAAAAAAGATCTAGAAGTTGTTAGAAAAGATCAGCTAGAGGTTAGAGATGTATTAAAAGAATTGGATAAGAGACACAAGGTGAAAATACAGTTTTTTCTTTATTATATCTTTTAATACAAAGTTATCAAGCATAAACATTTAGATCTCTTCTAATGTTTATTATTCGTACCAATAGAAATATCTAATATATAGTTTTAATATAATTATTTTGCTTTTTATATCTTTATTGTGTATCTCAATTATTTTGATTCATTTCAAAATATAGATCTATCTTTTCATAGTCCTGAATTAAGAAAAAGTGAATAAAATTACTATTGATTAAATTTCACCAGAAAATTAAACAGAAAAAACCCAGCACAGTAAGGTCGCGGCATAGTTGGATACAGTATAGATGGTATCTGACAGTGATTGAAATCACTGTCATAAAAATGCTTTGAACTCTGGACTTGTCTTCATGGTGAAAATGACTGCCGTATTCAAAAATATACTATTTTTGTAAAAAATTCTTGATATTATATTTTACATTTTTTAACTTTATGTTGCTATAACTTTTTAAAAAAAAGGAATGAATCAATTCTATTCTTTAATGATAAATACTTTTTATATATCTCTTTCATTCTGCATACTTTTTTTTTTTTAATCGGACTGTTTCCCTTTATACAGTAGGGAGGTTTCAAACCTTTAAAATTGGGTATAGAAAGTAGAACTTTTTCAACCTAAGTTTTGAAAATGTTCTGGAAATACTGACATTTTTATATATACCTTATAAAGCTTATGTAATATACTTTATTTTGAAAAAAAAATTTGACCTCAGGACTTGTCTTGTGATGAAAAAGAACATCAAAATTAAAGAAAAATTCCTTGAAAAAATTCTCGATTTTATATTCTTAAATTTATAATGCTAAAACTTTTTAGAAATGTATGTATCAATATTTTAATTTTTTTATAAATAATTTTTATATACCCTTTTAATCTGACATACAACCCAACCCAACCCAACCTGTACTTGTTTTTTAAATCGGATTATATCCTTTTATGCAAAGGGGTCATAACTTTAAAAATGTCTATAGAAAGTAGAACTTTTTTAACTTAAGTTTTGAAAATGTTCCGGAAATACTGACACTTTTATATATATATTAAATTAAAATGCCTGACAAGGGCAGTACACTGAATATCATAATTATTATATATATCAAATTTATATAGCATAGAAGTTAAACTTATTTTAATTTTTTTGCTTTTTTTTAAGAAAAATAACTTTAACTTGCCATTTTTTTAGTCGATGGAAGCTATGTACAGTTGCTGAGTCGGTAACACTTGTGTGCTACGCACTTGGGATACAAGGTTTCAACCCGCGTATGGCAAGGAATTTTTTGCATTTTTTTCTTAATTCTTTTTAAGTTAGAATAAATGTTTTTTATGTTAGTGATTTTAATCACTGTCAGATATCATTATACTTGTCCCAACTATGCCATGTCCATACTGGGCCGCAACCCCACCGTGCTACCATTTTTATAAATAATTTTTATACACCCCTTTCATCTGACACATTTTTTTTTATTAACTTTGATGTCTGTTTTCACCGTGAAGACAAAATATAGTCCAAAATTTTTTTTTTTTATATTAAAGTATATTACGTAAACTTTAATTTAAGGTATATATAAAAGTGTCAGAGTTTCCTCACACTTCAAAAAATTAATTTGAAAAAGTTCTACTTCCTATATGCATTTTTTAGTTTTGAACCCTACTGTAAATAGGTAAATGGTCCGATTTTTAAAAAAGTATGTCGAATGAAAGAAGTATATAAATATTACTTCTCATGAAAAAATTATTGATCCATACATTTTTCAAAAAGTTATATAAATATAAAGTTAAATATGTAAAATTAATACCTTCTCAGCTTCGCATTGAAACTAAAATTGTATAAAGTTTAATAAATCAAAATTTGATGTTAATCTATTAGTTTTTTTATCTGAAATGAAAGTTAAATAAGTTAGAAGGTAATAGTTAATTAAAAATTAGCAATTTCTTTATAAAATAGACTCAAACAATTGATTAATATAATGTTTCTTATTCTCAATAGGAACTTGATAAATTATTGGAAAAAGGAAAACTGTTAACAGTAGATTTAAAACTTGAAGTCCAAGATGTCGATGAAGAAATGAGCATGCATTGTGTGACTTGTGGTCACGAAATACACACTAGAACAGCTATTAAACATATGGAAAAATGTTTTAACAAGGTTTATATCTTATATTTTTTAGTTAAACAAGTATTTTTTGACAAAATTTATTATGAATAAGTTAGTATGAAAGTCAAGCATCATTTGGATCAATTTATAAGACAAGAATTGATGGTAATAATATGTTTTGTGATTTTTATAATCCATCACAAGGAACCTACTGCAAACGATTAAGAGTATTGTGTCCAGAACATTTTAAAGATTCAACAATCATAAGTGATAATGAGGTGATATATTATATAAGTTTCATTGTACATGAATCATTCATAATTCATATTGCATTTATTCAGTTTATTGATACTTTTACACTAATGATTTTAAATTATATTGTCTTTAATGTAAAACAATTATCGCAAGTGAGTACTAATACGTTTTGAAACATTTTTGATAATAGGTTTGTGGCTGTCCATTAGTTTCAAATGTTTTCAATCTGACTGGAGAGTTTTGCTGTGTTCCAAAAAAAAATTGCATAAAACATTATTGTTGGGATAAACTAAGAAGAGCTGAAATTGATATGGAAAGAGTACGCCAGGTATAAAATGATATAGTTATTATTTTAATAGTAATTTTTTAGTTATTATTGGTATGATATACATAATAAATTACCTAACAATAACAACCTTTAATTTTATTTAGTAAATATAGCTTAATTAATTATGGGTAAATTTTATATGTTTTCTTTTTCAAGCTTTCAAAATTCAGTGCCTTATATAAACATAATTACCATTGTTTTTTATTTAAGCTCTAAATAAATATTTTTCAAATTATATTATGTCATCAAAGATATTTGTTTTTTCGGTTATTTTATTTGTATTTTATACACTCTATTGCATTGAACAATAAGCCTAAATAATGAATTACAATTTATAGTGTATATTATAATTCATTTACAAAAACATGTATACTATTTATATTTTTATAGATCAGAGTAAAAAAATCTTCCAGTAGAATTATTTAAGTGATTACTTAAGATTCTACCATTTTATCAAAATGTATCTTTCTAAAAAATTATGTTTTAATATTTATTAGATGTTAAAAAATATGTCATATAATTTTTCATTATTCTTTAGTGGTTAAAATTAGATGAGTTGGTTGAAAAAGAACGACAAATACGTCATAGAATGTCTACTCGTGCTGGAGTTTTAGCATTGATGCTTCACTCAACATATGATCATGAAATGATGGAGCGTTTAACTTCTGAAGCAAACTCCCAACAAAAACGTGAAAATGGTTCTGGTTCAAAACTACCTATTGTAACTGATGAATAGAACTTAATGTATATTAATTAAGAAAATCAATGACCTCTATATTCGTAAAATATTTTCTTTATTTACTTTTCATAATAATTTAGTAATTTTATTCATAAATCAACTATGTTTTGTCATTAACCTTACTGCTACACTAATGATTAATTATGAATAATTTATTATGCATATATTTTTAGTGAAATAAATTTACACTGAAAACATTGTGTTTCCTATTTGTATATCATTGTGTTTGCTAATAACCCTCTCAACACAACTATATAATCAAACAATTTTTTTATTTTTTCTTTAACTATTGTAGTTATAAAACAAGATTAGGCAATATACTGTTAGAATGGTAAGTGTTACCTAAAAATTAATGTATTATAGCTAAAAATAACTATGTTATTGTTTCACAATTATATAATTAACTGCTTTCTTATATAATTAAAGTAAACTTGTATAATAATTTGAATTTCTTATTTTTACGTTTTTAAGTTGGTATCAAAAATATTACTTTTAGGTTAACCTTACAACCTGTATTCTTCTAAACTATTCTTTTAAATGTTTTATTATTTTAATATATTAATAAAAAAAATTATTTTAATTACAATTATATGTTATATAGTTAAAAAAAACAAATTTTATTATAATTTATTTAAATTGAAACTAATAATTTAACTTATTTAACCTAATAATTAATTAGAAGAACTTCAGTGAAAAATATTGTTTTACTATTAGATTTGTTTTAAACTAAATATTGGTAAAAAGTTTTGGTAAACAAACTTTGCTATATAACAATAAAATATCGCATATCTACTCCTATTTAAAAGACAAGACTTATTTAAATAATGCAAAATGAAATAGATTGATGTGAAAAAGTGTATTATGTATATGATTTTCCGGCTTTTAGCATTTTAAATACATTTCATTTATAAAGTATAAAAATATAGACTTTTAAGGAAATTGTATAATAGCATGACAAATGTTTGTAATTTGGTAGCATAAATACGCATGTCTAAAATTTATCTTATGGATAAAAAATATTTTTTTTTACTAAGTTTAACTAAAATATAATCGCATCAAACATTTTTATAATTGATTTTATTGTGCTTGACATTATTAACAATAAAATCACAAATTGTACCTAGTTTAGAGTTTAGACACAAGGGGATTTAGTTCCTCTACTATTAGCTTATGTTTACGAGCCTATTTTTTAGATTAAATTGAAATTTATACAACAGTATGGATAGATAAAACCAAAGGTGCTATGGGGGGGGGGTTAAAGGATTTTAAACTCAAAAAATCTGACAACTCGACGTGTAAATAAGAGGGGTTAATGGACTTCTTCGAATAATTTTAAACGTTTATTTTAAATATTAAATTAAATTTATAATATTGAATTTCTGAAGAAAATATTATTTTTTGAACTCCCCTCTTCAAATTTTAGCTATTTGCATGCTGAATACTAAATTTTAACATCAATTCGAAGCTACGACGGTATTAATTTCATCAAGATGTTTTTTATTGTCTGACTCATATATAATCTCGAACAACTATATCTAGCTGAAAAATACCACTTTTTTTTTTTTATTAATCGAATTTTTTTTTAGAAGAGAATTGTAAATGGGCGACTCTTATGTTTTAAAACATTTCAATCGACCATTCAGTTATTTAAATTTAAAATGTATGGATTAACATGAAATTAGTATAATTTATATTCTAGAGTCTAGTTTATTGTCTAAAGTCTAGACAATATATTCTTTTATAACATATTTTTTTTTGAAAATATTAATAAAATAAGTAAAGTTTGAATATAGCTATAAAGGTATATGATCATGTCAAAATGTTTTATGTTTATGACAACATTCTAAAATTCCTTTTAAAAAGTTATTGAACTAATATAAAAATAATAAATGTCATTATTTTTGAAAATATAAACAGTTGGGAAAGTCATGAGGAAAATAGTCAAATTTTCAAACCTAAGTGTTTTTGACGATAATTTTTACCACAAGCTTATTAATAATTCACTATGCGTTGTGCCGACTGCATTGAGTTTTATTTTATGTAGTAAAAGTTTATAGTTTGAACATTTTTGCTAAGATTTTGAATAAAATTAATTAGTTTGGAAGCGTGAAGACTGATTTATCAATTCCTGAGTCTAGTTGTGTAACATATTAATATAATATCTAGAATTAAAGAGCTTGGTGCAACAAATATTTTTGTTTTGTAATTTAGTCAGTGACGGCGAAAGAAGAGCAGTAGAGACAGTTACTTCGGACTTTGTGTTTCTGCAATTGTAATATTAATCCGCATACGTTTTTTTTTGTCCAGTCCACACAAATGTTTCCGCCGCACAGTGATCTGAAATCAAAATTATCTTATTATAACTTATATATCCTGATTTAAGTTAAAAAAAATATTGAATATATCCAATATCTGTGTTTTAAAGGTCGCGGATTTTAAATTAAATAACAGATTTTAATTTCATCAAAATTTAAAGATATAAAATATTTTATGTGGCATATGGATGTATATGCATTTAAAACTTCTAATTTTAAATTTATTATAATATTTAAAATTTACCTTTATTTAAAGGACAAAGTATTTGAGGTATTATTCTTCATTATATATATGTACCGGGAGTCGGTCTGGCCTGGGTCCTGAATTCGATTCCCAAAGGTACCAACAAGATTTTTATTGTATTTTTCTCATTGGTAATATACAAGCCATAATACCCGTCCCGTCCATTATTGGCCAAGCCAAGAACCATTTTTGACTCCTTAACATGTGAAATAGATATACCACCCTTTTGTAGCATGTAAAGTCGGGAAATAGAAGGATTTAAAACTGATAATTTTCATACTCTATTATACATATTAATTATATTTTACTTACGTTACAAGTTTTGGATATCAATTACATATATTTTTAACACGACTTGATTAATGTCCATAGTACCTTTTTCAATTTTTTTTAATGTATTTATAAAAATTACATTTTTGATTGTTATGATAAAAGTATAGTTTTCGTCAAATATTAAACTGAAAATCATTTTTCTTTAAGCGTATCTAACTTTTTTATAGTATAATTTTTATATAAAAACTAAAATAGAAATAAATATTTTTATTTCAAAAATGTAAGTATAAATATACTAAAAATAGCTTGAAAAAATACTAAGAAAATCATTAATTTTACTATCAAACCGATCTGCACAGCAATAAAAACAACTTATAATTTAAAACTCTATATTTAATTTCAGTAGGTTATTCGCTAAAAACCCATTTTTTTAAATTTAAGTTTAGACAAACTAATTTTGATTACCTCTGTGATCTTTAAACCACTGTGCGCCGTCGTTGAATTCAGAACAAACTAAGTTTTGAATTAGTATTATTTGTGGAGATTTTAATCTAAAAAAACATTTTACCATTACTTTTAATGAACATTATTTTATAAAATTGATTCTTCTGACAATTTTCTTATAATCAACTTATCTGGTTGTTGCATCAAATCTTATAAATTTTTTCTGATAATTATAAATAAAGGGAGACTCCAGGAATCCTACATACGGCTTATATATTCTATAGTATATTAAAGCTATGCATTAGATAATCATTGGATTTATATTGTACGGGTTTTTTTATAATAGAGAACTAGTCATGAACATTTATTTTTTTAGAGATTTAAGAGACATAACATGTCTTACTTAAAACCGTATGATTTATATCTAACTTCATTTGATAGTCTCTTGATAATGTATGGTCATATCGACTTGTCGTTTATTCTGTAACAGTGCGTATAACAGTTTTATTAGGTTTTCAAGATGATGAAAAATAAATTTGTATTAAACACGTTATAATACAAGAAATGATTTTATTTTCATAAATTTTCAATTTATTTATTTTTATAAATAATAATTTATTATTTTCAAAAAAAACATTTTCAGAAATATTATTGCTAAAAATCTTTATAGTCAAAATTTAAGATACGTATTGTTGCAATATTAGTAACAATGTAATGTTAACAATTGATTGCGGGATGAAATTTCTCTCAAATAACATATTAAACAAAAATACCTAAAATTCACTGTTTCCACTCTTTGTCCAATTATTGTCGGGTTAGTTTACTAGCAAACAAAAGTTTTACATCTTTTTTACTATTATCATAGATATAAATCTATAGTCGTGGTTATTATTTTCTAAGAAATAGGTGTAAAATATTTAAACTAATGAAAAATACATTTTTATTTGTTTTAGTATTATGACTTTTGTTAAATTATTTTACTTGTATAATAAAAATTAATCACGTGTGGCTATTATTATTTAAAATTAAAACTATATTAAAAATATTAATTTAAAACTAAAAATATTAGCTCAAAAAAATTACTAAAATATCGTGGATATGTATTTCAGGAACAATGTTACTATTATTAACGCTAAACACATACGTACGATTATGTGTTTTAAATTAATATTTTTAATTTTAAATATTTTACTTTTATACTGTGTTTTTTAATAGATATTTTAATAATATAAAAATTATTAAATCTGCCATGATATTATTTTAATTCTATATCAATAAAAATGGATTGTAATATATAAAATGTCTATAACAGAGACTTAGGCGGTAAAGAGATCTATGCACACTGAGAGTTGATATTGCTTGGACGTTTCTGGCATTTAATTGATAAAAAATACTAATTTTTAGTCATCAACTTGTTCAATTTAAAAGAAATTTATTTGATACACTTCTATCTTCGACGAATATATTTATATATATTGTATATTTTTTGTTTAGTGAATAATACATGTACGAAATCGTATGTATATATATACATATGTATAATCCTCCAATTAATTTAAGCTACGCCAAGTTAAAAAAAAAGTTATTTTGTAATGTCATGAATGAGTTACTTCCATTTTTAATTTGTATTATTTAATTTAACAAGTATCACAGTTGTTGTGATACCAAAAATATCATTACTTAAATGTTTATTATATTATTATTTTATTATAAAATTTAAGTTTATTATGCAATATATAGAGGCGTGTGGTAAATTTTTAATTAAATTTGCACCTACATGTATTGGTTTTTCTATAAAGTATTTTCTTTTACAAATACGAAATACTGATTAAAAAAAATTGAGTCAAGTGATGTTTTTTTAACCTAGAACGAAAAATACCTAAAGAGATTTACGCTAATGGTCATTGCCTTATCTTTGGTTCTGTTAATGGTGTGTACGTAGTTCATAACTCATAATTTCTACGTATATCGTTGCATCGAAAATTGATTAAAAAATATTAATCAATTATAATATATGAGAAAAACGGAAATGCAGTACTGTTTTCTAAAATATAG